GCTTCATTTTAATATTTAGTCATAAATCAGATTTTACAACATGAAACTCAATAGCTTACAAATAGCAGTTTGAATAAGTTAAGCTTTCTAGCTTGAATTTTTAAAAGAGACTACTTTTCTGTCTCTCTGGTTTTTTTTCCTCTCAGTCTCAGGAATTAGGTCTGGTAGAATATTTTGTAAATAGTTTGGTAGAATATTTACAGCTCAAAGGCACAAAGAAGGTAAAGCAAATTCTTTCTAGAACTTGTTCCTTTAAGGTCAGAATTCTGAAGATGCTTTATGAAGCCAACTTTCTATAACTGTATACACAAAAGAGTTTTGGAATGTCAAAAAGAGCCCCCATCTTGCTAAAGCAATCCTAAGAATGAAGAATAAAGTTAGAGGGATGGGAGGGGAGTTTGGGGGAGGATGGGTATGTATATATGTATGGCTGAATTCCTTTGCTGCTCACCTGAAGCTACTACAACTTTGTTAATTGGCTACACCCCAATACAAAGTAAAAAGTTTAAAAAAAAAAGCTGGAAGTATGGTCATCCCTGACTTCAAACTGTACTACAAAGCTGCAGTAACCAATATGGCACTGGCACAAAAACAGACACATAGATCAATGGAACAGACTAGAGAGCCCAGAAATAAACCCACACAGTTACGGTCGATTAATCTACAGCAAAGATTTTTAAGAATATACAGTGGAAAAAATAGAATTAAAAAAAATAAATTAAAAAAAAGAATGTACAGTGGAGAACAGTCTCCTCAATAAGCGGTACTGAGAAAACTGGACAGCTACATCTACATGGAAAAGAATGAAATTAGAACATTTTCTTACACCAAATACAAAAATAAACTGAAAATGGATTAAAGACCTAAATGTAAGACTGGAAACAACAAAACTCACACAAGAAAAGTTAGGTAGAATGCTCTGTGACATAAAATTGAAGCAATATTTATTTTTGGATCTGTCTTCTAAAGCAAAGGAAACAAAAGCAAAGATTCATGACATCTAGTTAGATTCAAAGGTTTTTGCATCTATGTATATATATACTTACGGACATATGTATACTTAACGGCTGATTCATGTAGATGTTTTGGCAGAAACCGACACAATTCTGTAAAGCAATTATCCTTCCATTAAAAATTAATTAATTTTAAAAGGTTTTACACAACAAAGAAAACCATCGACAAAACTAAAAGACAACTTACTAAATGGGAGAAGATAGATATATGACTCATAAAGGGTTAACATCCAATATATAAAAACTCATCTAATATATATGCTCATCCAACTCAGTATCAAAAAAAAGGACTCAATTTAAAAATGGATAGAAGACCTGAATAAATACTTTTTCAAAGAAGACATACAGATGACCAACAGACACAGAAACAAATGCTCAACATACTAATTTTCAGAGAAAAGCAAGTCAAAACCACAAGATACCACCTGACACCTATCTGGATGGCTATCATCAAAAAAACCATAAGTAACAAATACGAGTGAGAATGTGGAGAAAAGGGAACCCTTGTACACTGACAATGGGAATATAAGTTGGTGCAGCCACTGTGAGAAACTGTATGGAATTTCATCAAAAAACTAAAAATAGAACTACTGAACATACGACCCAGCAATTCCATGGGCTTCCCTGGTGGTTCAAATGGAAAAGAATCTGCCTGCAATGCAGGAGACCAGCATTCGATCCCTGGGTCGGGAAGATCCCCTGGAGGAGGAAATGGCAACCCACTCCAGTATTCCTGCCTGGAGAATCCCATGGACAGGGGAGCCTGGCAGGCTACAGTCCATGGGGTCAGATATGACTGAGTGACTAACACATCGCTTCCAGCAATTCCACTCCTGGGTATTTTTCCAGACAAAACAAAAACACTCTTATGGATACCAGAGGGGAAGGTTGGGGGAAGGGATAGTTGGGAAGTTTGAGATAGACATATACACACTATTTTATTTACAATGGATAACCAGTCTGGTCCCAGCCAGGCCAACAAATCCGCGCCTTCGGCAGCAGCCTTTCTTTAGTGTGCGCAGAGACAGTGAGAGGCAGACCAGGAGGCTGAAGCTTAAAAGTCATGAATGGAGACCTGAAACGAATTAAAATGTTGTCTGTGGATTCTGAAAGAAGTCACATGAAAGCCATCATCTAAAGATGTTGAGTGGAAGGATCTCTGTGATGAAACGTCCATACGTGGTGCAGTCTCAGTCTCGGTTTGAGGCTGAAAAGGTTGCTCCAGGAGACACTACCTAGCGAGAGTGCCGTCGGCTGCCCTGGACCCAAGGCAAAATTTCTCTCGTGTGCAACTGAACAGGCTTGGGTGGAATGCTCTCGTTACTTCCCCTGTCCTCCTCTTTGTTGTGCTAAGTGGTACTTAGCAGCTAAACACCAAGAGCAACAAGTGCTGGGAAGGGGCTTTCGCAGTGGCTCAGTGGTAAAGAACCCGCCTGCAATGCAGGAGGCATGAGTTCAATCCCTGGGTCAGGAAGATCCCCTGGAGAAGAAAATGACAACCCACTGAAGTATGCCTGCCTGGGAAATCCTATGGACAGAGGAGGCTGGCAGTCTACTGTCTATGGGGTCACAAAAGAGTCGGACATGACCGAGCAACTAAACAACAAGTGACAAGGAGACTTTGAGATAAGTTTGTTTTCTTTGCTAGGTGCCTGCAATGTGTAAAACAGAACTGAACTGCTTCGCCTGAAGCATGTGAAACGATTCCTCTCCTAAAATAAACTATTAAATTTGTGATAAATGAATAAAAAGGATAACCAACAAGGACCCACTGTATAGCACAGGGAACTCTGTTCAGTATTACATGGCAGCCTGGAGGGGAAGGGAGTTTGGGGGAGAATGGATACATGTATATGTATGGCTGAGTCCCTTTGCTGTCCACCTGAAACTATTACAACATTGTTAATTGCCTATACTTCAATATAAAATAAAACATTTAACAAACAAAAAACAAAAACACTAACTTGAAAAATAGCACGTGCCCCCATGTTCCTAAGCAGCATTATGTACGACAGCTAAGACATGGAAGCAACCTGAATATCCATCAACAAATGAATAAAGAAGATGTGGAATACTACTCAACCATAAAAAAGAATAAACTTTCACAACCACATGGATGGACCTGGAAGGTATTAAGCTAAGTGAAATAATTCAGACAGAGAAAGACAAAGGCTTATATGTAGAATCTAAATAATAAAACGAATGAATAATTTAAAAAAAAAGAAGAGCTCCGTTTTGACGATTTTCAGGGTGACATTTCCTTCAGATCCCAATTAAATAAGTACTTAAAAAAAGTAAGTTCCTTATGTATTTTACATGAATCTGGCTGGGGTGTAAGAGGTTGGCTTTCTGACATTCTTTGTTTAGCCTGAGAAAAGACATTAGGCCAACCTCACTCACTCTACACAATTCAGTGTCTTTCAACTAAGCAGATCCCAGCATCTTTCTGGGAGGCAGAACTTGGGGGGCACTTTCCCAGTATCTCTCAACTGGGGACCAGGTACCTGTTACACACCATCAGATAAAACTCAGCATTATCAACCCCAAACTGGAAGATCTGAGAACCAGGAGAAACTTATCCCAATTTATCTGGACTCGCTGAGGACTGACATGTACTTTCAAGGCTCCGGACCCTCACCGAGTTCCGGCCAAGGAGAGAAGCCAGCTCTGTCCTCCTCCACGGTCACCAAGGCTGCTGACCGAAAAACAAAAAGGCACAACCAGAGAGCTGTGAGTTTCTGCTTTATCTGGGGCTTCCTGAGGACTTGACCCTGGGAGACGGCCTCTCAGAAATCACCGAGGGACTGCTCTGAAGTGGCCAAGGGCCTGGGGAGGTCGGTGTATATGGGATTTAGGTGAGGGGGGCGGGTACCGACACTCGAGCTCACGTTTTGGCAGAAGTTTGCTCCTGGTCACCAGCAATGGGTTTCTCTGTTCATGATTTTAGTATGAGAAGACGTAAGAATCCAAACTCCTAAAAAAATTTATCTTGATAATGTTATAATATTGAGGCTTCCCTGGTGGTCTGGGGGTTAAGACTCTGTGCTCCCAATGAAGGGGGCAAGGGTTTGATCCCTGGATGGGGAACTAAGATTCCATGTGACGCATGGTGGAGCCAAAAAAAAATGATAATATTATTAACTCTCTAAGGGCTCATTTTGCCTGTTTTTGCACCGTGCAGCCAAAAAACAAAACACGATAATATTGATAACTATCGAAGAACTAATTTTCCCTGTTTCTCAGAGCACAAATTGCCTCATCCTCATCTTCTTCCTAATTTCTTTTCAGGATTACTGTAGGTCAGTGACCACACGGGCAATGACTTGATTCGTGTAGAACTGGTGTGGGGCGGCCTCTGCCAGCTCCCAGCAGATGCCCTGAGTACTCTCCTAGGGCAGAGTTTCTCAAAGCCTAGAGTACAGTTGATAGAATACCTTCATGGCGATCACCTCTGACCTGTTTTTTAAAATACAGGTTTCACAGCCTCAATTATGGACCTGTTAAACCTGGAATTTCTGAGCAGGGGACAGCTACAGAGTCACGTTCTAAACAGCAGGCTGCTGGCCAATCAATGTCACATGTGCATACTTTTTTCCTAAATTGCCTTGACCTCTGCTTCTCCCTTTTCTCTCCCCTCCATCCATCCCGGCCAGGACCAACCTCCCTTCCCCTTTCTGCACCCTCCCTCTCCACCCCAGCTCCCCGCAAATGGCCAGAGTCTCCTGGTGAAGCAATCTCTCTATCCTTGGTTCCTTCCTTTCCACGCTGAGTGATGGCTTTTTTATCTCCCAATGATGAAACACAGCCTTCAGCTGGAGGTATTTAAGGCGCAGAAAGGCACCGTCTGGCCACAGCTGCAGGGCCTGAGGCCACAACCCTGACAGGCTGAGGAAGGACAGGAGCAGCCATCCTCCAGAACCAGAGGCCACGGCAGGAGCCCTCAGCATCCCCCGCCAGACTCCACACCTGCTCCTACTGCCAGGAAAGATGTTCCTCGCCACGTTTAAGCTGTGTGCCGGGAGCTCCTACAGACACATGCGCAGCATGAAGGGTGAGCTCCCGAGGACCTCATCTGGGTGGCCAGGAGCTCGGCAGGGTCTAATGGGGAAAGGGCACAGCTCTTGGGCAGGCCACTCAGGATCTGGCCCCAGCCGTGCCTCTCATGGAGGCAGCCTGGGCAAGCCTCTCGCCTTCTGCACCTCAACACCCCCCCACCCCCACTGAAGAATTGAGCTGGACACGAAGGCGCCTTCCAGGCTCGGTCACCCCTGGCCTCCCCTGCAGGGCTCCAAGCTGTCTTGGCTTCTGCCTGACTCTGCCCTCTTTTAGGATGGGTGCCAAGGGTGCCAGGGAAATCTGGCCACAGTGGCGGAGGTGGGGAGCCCAGACTCCAAGCCCCCGTGTTTGCAAGCCTGAGAGCTGATGGGCAGGAGAGGGAGAGAAGAAAAAGAAAGGGGAGTAGGGCAAGAGCACGTGGTGGCGGGGGGGCTCTTTATCAGCATCATACAGTCAGGAGGTGGAAATCAGTTCCTGCAGGACCCAGAGTCATTTGAGCCAATCCCCTCAAGGGACCACAGAGCAATCTAAATGAGTCCTTTCCAATTACATTGGGCTCACCAGGCTACTGTTTAGATAGAAGCTGCCCTTGGAAGACCTGCACCGGCATGGGACTATTCTCCCTAAATCAGAAAGAACCCCGCCCCCCAACAGGCACACGGAGCAGTTATTCTCATAGACCTCAGGGGATGGGGTGTCTGCAACAGTGGGATGTTTTGGTTGGGCAACTTCAGCCAGCCTGGGTGTGGCCCCCGCCTCCAGGTGGGGCCAGTGAGACAGAAGGCAGGTTTCTGGGCCCTGGAGTCATCCCTCTGGGAATCCTTCCTGATCAAGTCACTTTCCCTCCAGGCCACCTTCCTCCTCTGTGATGAGAGGAAGGGTGGAAGGGTCCGTTTCTAAGAGGCTTTCCTGCTCCTAAGCAACAATTTCCCTCCGTTTCTGGCAGGGCTGCGGCAGCAGGCTGTGCTGGCCATTGGCCAGGAGCTGAACCGGAGGGCACTGGGGGGCCCGGCTCCAGCTGTGTGGATTAACCAGGTTCGGCGTCGCAGCTCTCTGCTAGGTAAGAGCTGAGGTTTCTGGGCTTCTGCCAGTGGCAGGGGGCTCCCGGGTGCAAGCGTGTGTGTGGCTGTAGTCTCCCAGATCCTGTCCCCTCACTCCCCACCTTCCTCACTCCCTCTATGGGAATGGCGTTGTTCACAGCCAGATCCCTGTGTCTAACTCAACCTGTGACTGGGACCTTGTGACTTTGGTCTGGGCTCTTCAAGGATCCATCCCTGTGTCTAACTCAACCTGTGACTGGGACCTTGTGACTTTGGTCTGGGCTCTTCAAGGATCCAAAGGGTGAAACTGGCAGGAGGCTAGAAGTTCAGTGTCTCCTTGGCTTTGCATCCAGGTTCTCAGCTGGAAGACCCTCTCTACAGTGACCAAGAGCTGGCCTATATCCAGCAGGGAGAGGAGGCCATGCAGAGGGCCCTGGGCATCCTCAGAGACCAGGAGGGCTGGAAGAAGGAGAGCCGGCAGGTAAGGGGGCCACGGAGGAGCCCACACCTCCTCGCTGTTACCGTGCCATCCTCAAGGCCACCTACAGTCTCTGCTCCTCTCAGAAGTCCAGCCTCGAGCAGTAAGTCACTGGGCAGCAGGCAGTTGTTTTTTTTCCCTTTTTAATTTGGCTGCCCTCGGTCTTCATTGCTGGGAGCGCCTCATTGCTTTCTCTAGTTGCGGCACGTGGGCTTCTCCTGGCCCTGGTGTCTATCATTGCAGAGCACAGGCTCAGGGCGTGCGAGCTTCAGTAGTTGCATCTACTGGGCTGTGGAGCTGCAGGCTCAGTGGTCGTGGTGCACAGGTTTGGTTGCCCCCGGCATGTGGGATTTTCCCCAAACCAGGGATCGAACCTGTGTCTCTTGCATTGACAGGCGGATTCTTTACCACTGAGCCACCAGGGAAGCCCCAGTAAGCAGTTTGAATTCTCGTTCCCCAAGAATATACCCTGGTTACCCCCGTCCTCCATCAAAGATGTTCTGGAGACGTGCGTTTGAGAAAAGCTGTCCCCGTGTCCTTAGCTCCCCTCCAGGATGCGCTGTACACCCATTCAGACCATGCAGTAGGGACTCTAGGGTCAGGAGAGGCCTCATCCCCTGGTCAGAAGTTCCAGGGCCGAAGCGCTCTTAGCCCACCTCCTAGCTGACCTTGCAGGGGTGACCTGGGCTCGCCTGTGACAGGGCTGGCCTGGAGTACAGCGGGCCGAGGCCCTCGGGTGTGCCCCGCTCCGGAGCACTGCCCTTTCACGGGGCGCTGGGAACAAGGCGCAGGTGAAAGTCTGATGGCTCCACCGAGACTTGGCTCTATTCCCGCGGCAAGTTCATAAGCCGCCCACCGGCCAAGTTCAGGCGAGGTCTTTCCTTCTCCAGCTTCTCTGGGTTAGCAGACTACGAGTTTGGGAGTCAGGAAATCTGGGACCTGGGCCCAGGAATGCTCTTGCTCAGAGTCCTGAGGCATCTCGCTGACCTTCTCTGGCCATACATCCTTCTGGTGTAAAATGAGGGGTTGGACTGAAAAAAAAAAAAACCCACCTCTGTGAAATTAGCTGGTTGCAGACCACTTTCTTCACTCCCAAATGAATCTCTCTCTCAGGATCTTTGAGCTTCTGAAGTCAAGTAAGGGCCTTCTCAGGTGGACCTACCCACCCCTGTCAACATTTACCCCCAAGATGTGGGAGGACTCTGTAGTGAAACATGTTCATTTTCTCCAAGTTAATCTCAGTCAAAAACCTAATGCAGGTTTCTTGAAAATCTTTCAAAATAATTCTGATTTTTATCTAGACAAATAAATACATATCAGTATTTAAGAAAATACATTGATCCTCAAGAAAAAAGGGCCCAGGGGACAGGCAGGCTACCTCTCCAGTCCACAGCAGATGAAAAAGGCTGGTGGCAGGAAATAGGGCCTCCTCTGCCTTTATCAAAGACGGTTCCAGGCTCCTTCGGGTTCAGCCTAGAGCTCCCCTGGCTGTTCCGCCCTGCCTGGCCAGGCAGTCTGTGTCCTACGCTGGGAATATTTTCCTCTACCATTTCCCCGGGGCTCCTCTCTCCTCACCCACAGGCCAACGGGGACGAGGTGCTGAGTAAAGTGATCCCCGACGTGGGCAAGGTATTCCGGTTGGAGGTGGTGGTGGACCAGCCCATGGAGAGGCTTTACGAAGAGCTTGTGGAGCGCATGGAGGCCATGGGCGAGTGGAACCCCAATGTCAAGGAGATCAAGGTGGGGAGGGCCAGTAGGAAGGGGGCTGCGGCCAGCTGGGGGTGGTGCCTCCCCCCCTACCTGGCTGAGTAGTGTCTCTGGTTCCCTGTGGCCTGGCAGGTCCTGCAGAAGATTGGACAAGACACGGTCATCACTCACGAGCTGGCCGCAGAGGCAGCAGGAAACCTCGTGGGGCCCCGAGACTTCGTGAGTGTGCGCTGTACCAGGCGCCGGGGCTCCATGTGCGTGCTGGCTGGCACGGCCACACTCTGCGAGGAGGTGCCCCAGCAGAAGGGTGTCATCAGGTAATACTGGCAGCAGTCCCCAAAGTTCCCAGTAATTTATCTAGCTGGGCTGGGTCTTAGTTGCAGCACGTGGGATCTAATTCCCTAACCAGGGATCGAACCCAGGTCCCCTGCACCGGCAACATGGAGTCTTAGCCACTGGACCACCAGGGAAGCCCCAAAGCTCCCTTTTCTAACACAGCCTGGGGACACGTGCCTGCCAAGTGTGGGATGAATCCCCGACTTCAAGGATCCAACCCTTGGTTCCTACCCTCCGTCTTATTTTCCATAGCAGGGGAGGAAGACAAGGTTGGCCAAACTTTTTTTTTTGGCCAAACTTCTATAGCCAGGTTGCCCTGACCCTCCCAGCAAGTTTAAGAACCTTAGTAATTTTCTAAAACCAGAGGTAGGGCTGCTGTTTAGCTGGTATGCTCAGGTCCGACTGGAATATTGATGAAAACAGAGTCCGTACCACTTAGAACACAGTTGCTATCGTAGTTTCCTGGGGCCCCCAGCACCACCCTGGACCCTTTCCCAACCTCCCCGTTATCCCAACTGTGAGGCTCTGCAGGCCTCCAGGCTCCAGCTGGCCTTTGTTCTGACGAGCTGGTGACCCTGCCAACTGTTAAATTTCACCCTTGGCAAATAGCACTTCTCCGATGAGACTTAAAAAAAGATGAGGTCCATGAGGAATGTGGGTAATATAACTAGCCAGCATTCAAGAACTTGGGCTTGTTCTCTTGACCTGATGTGTCTTCATCTGGCAGAGCTGAGCACGGCCCCACCTGCATGGTGCTCCGCCCCCTGGCTGGAAGTCCCTCAAGGACCAAACTCACCTGGCTGCTCAGCATTGACCTCAAGGTAAGGGGCACGGGAGGGGGCCAAGGCGGTGGTGAGAAAAGAAGGCTCTTACCCCTACCACCGGCTTCCCCGGTGGCTCAGATGGTACAGAATCCGCCTGCAATGCAGGAGACCTGGACTCAGTCCCTGGGTGGGAAGATCCTCTGGAGAAGGGAATGGCTACCCACTCCAGTATTCTTGCCTGGAGAACTCCATGGACAGAGTCTGGTGGGCTCCAGTCCATGGGTTTGTAAAGACTAGGACACCACTAACAACTAACCACTAGCAACTAACACAGCCCTCCCACATCAGCCCACAAGAACATGAAGAATTCTCCATTTTGAGAGAAGCAGACTGCTGCAGCGGGAACAAACTTGAGTGATGGCCTGCTATTCCATCATCTCAGAAGCCTGCAATGGCTCCCTCTTACTTTTTTTTTTCCCCCCTCTTACTTTTCTTATCAAATTTCATCTCGGTAGTTATTTTAGAAAGAAGGAAACTTAGGCCCCCAAAGATATGGTAGCTGGCTCAGGGTCACACCATAGGGAAGACAGGGCTGAAATCTGTCTGGGCAACAAATCCTGTGCTTCTGACATGGTCCTGACAGCAGGGCAGTAAAGCAGTCTTCCAGCCCCTGAGAGGGCGCACCTCCCAACAGGGCTGCAAGACCAAGCCTAGGCAACCCACCAGGTGTGTGATAGGGACTGGCGGTGTCTAGGGTGGGACATCAATCACAAGATGGCCAAATTCTTCTAACTTTGACTCTAGGGATGGCTGCCGAAGACCATCATCAACCAGGTCCTCTCGCAGACCCAGGTGGATTTTGCTAATCACCTGCGCAAGCGCCTGGAGTCCTGCCCCGCTCTTGAAGCCAGGTGTTGAAGGCCAGCCTGCTGCTCCACCGGCTCCCAGCTGAATGGGTTTGCGGGCTCACAAGGAGGTCCCTGCTGGGAGCCTACAAATCTGTTAAAGATCTTATCTGAGGACGGTGGGATGGGGTGGTGGTGTGTTTTCAATAAGATACTGCAGCTCAGATGGGTAGCATTTTAGTATCAAGAGAATGGGGACAAGGCTGTTCTAACTTCATTCACTGATGAGCTGTAAAATGAAGCTTAAGGGTCTCAAAACGCTTGTGAAACTTTTTTTTTGTGAAACTTTCTTCTGGGTCCTGACAGTGTCTACCTAAAAATATCTTGAAAATGCTACTAGTTAGGGAACACAAGGATCAGGTCATCAAGCTTGAGGAGGTCAAGAGGTCTGTGGGCAATGTGTGCAGACAGAGATCTTATACAGGGCCTCCTGCAACCCTCTGCTCCTCTACCAAGTGGGTGGACAGCTGCACCAAAGAGCAAGCAACTCCCAGAGCAGATACCTTTTAGAACTCTAGTTCAAGTGACCTTACGAAAAAATACAGAACTAATTATTAGACTGATTCCCGTACTTCTTCCACGACAGGAGTCAGAATAAAGAATTGTAACTCACATAAAAACTTTCCGTTAGTCTGTGCCTGATTTAAAATTCTACTCTTTTAAAATCCATGCTAGTAAATGGCAAGCTCATACTAAAGGAGCCGTGGATAAAGATTTTAATTAGTTAAACTAAATCTCTTACTTCATTCAAAGGAAAAACTCCAGGGGACTTAAGTCTTTCAATTATGTAGGATCTGTTACCAGAATCTTTCATAAAAATTTAATTTGGACAATAAGCACAAGACTAAATCAGTTCTTAAAAGAACTCTACAGCTGGTAGCTGATTAATGGGCATTGGAAGATGAAGATTTTTATTTACCTAATCAGGACAGAACCAAAAGCGAGTGGCTAAGAGAAAATAAAAAAGCAAGTTTTACTACTTCCCCATTAGTTGCTTGTTTAGATCTTAAAAGGGAAATCAATCTTTAGTTTGGAGTCTATTCTGTCCTCTTAGCTTGACTTGGGGCTGCCAATTTCTCTGCTTTAACAGGTCAACGTCTTACTATATTGGAGATGGCTGGAAGGCATGTTAGCATGACAGCAAAATCCCTTTCCAAGGTCTGAGAATTGGTGCTCTAAACATCTAAATTGAGATCGGGTTATCTGGCTAAAATACATATGCAGGATGAAAACCCAACCATTATCACCTGAAGTGTTTCCATTCCAGTGATAACAGCATTAATGATTTACACCATATGGAAAGTCATGCTAGCTAATTTATTGAACAAATTAGCAGTGGCAGAAATGCTGGTATTTATTGAGGCATTTAGACTGTACAACTGATACAGGTATTTATTAATATTTATTCTGTTTCTTAGTAGTCTGTTTTTGGCATAGATGAAATTATGTTTATCCAGCCTGGAAGCTTCAGAGTGAGAAGGAATAATTGTGGAAGTATTTCTAGAACCGAATTCTCCACTCCCAGCTAAGAGAAAGGGTTGCTTGTTGAAAGGTGTGCACAGCAACACTTGCTCTGGTTTCAAGAGAACAGGCTGACAGTGAAGAAACGGGTTTTCAACACACACCATGTTTGCCTTTTTCAAACTATGCAACTGTGTCTTTGAGGGGCCTGGGGAGATCTTTTCTCACTTGTTTTTCATTGGAATAAAATGAGTTGTCAGTGATGACCTGCTTACAGAGACTGTTTTACATAGAACTGTATGAAAAGTGGGTACTCCTGCAGCCCTTCAAACGAACCCTATCACACGTGCACACAATACGATGCATAAACAGGTAAAACCATTATTTCTATAAGCGCCAATTTATGAAAGTGAAATGTACAAAACCCTGATTTCATCATTTAAACAGAAGAGTGGGTGCACAACTTTTTTTACATGTCATTTATATGGTCACTTATATTACAAAAAATTTACCCCCAGCTTCCTCTAAGTAACACCACCCTCATTTACACAGAGTTCTTCACACTCTGGGTTCCAAAGCTTTAAAACCACTTCTGCTCTGTAACACCCACCACCAATGAACAGACCTCAGCCTGATTCTGTTGGGTTTCCTGTTAGGAAGTAGAATGACCAAAACAAAGAACCTCTGTGATTCATTAGGAGACAAATAATCAAAGTTTCTGCATTGATACAAACAGTTGCTTGAAATTTGGGAAATTTCTTAAACAGCCATAATATACGGTGATCCTTGGCAACCTATTACTGGCCTCTTGGTGAACCACCCTACCTATTAACCTAGGTAGAAGTTACATGCAGGGGAGTCTGCAGCAATCCTGGAAGGACTGCCCTGCCGCTGATTAAGGACTCCATGCTGCCACTGCAGAGGGCACGGGTCCAATCCCTGGTCGGGGAAGTTCTGCAAGCTGTCGTGTGGCCCCCAGCAAAAACGCTGGGGGAGGGTGCAGTGAGAATAGGGAAGCACACAGTGGCCCCAGGGGAAAGGCTCATTCTTACATTTCAGTTTTTAGTCTTCTGAAAACTGCCCCCCTCACTTTTAAATATTTACTTGGCTGTGCCAGGTCTTCGTGCAGCACACAGGATCTTAAGTTACGGCAGACAGAATCTTATAGTTGGGGTAGGTGGGCTCTAGTTCCCTAACCAGGGATCCAACCGGGGCCCCTGCCTTGGGAGCTTGGAGTCTTAGCCACCAGACCACCAGGGGAGTCCCTGAAACCTGCCCTTTAATCATCAGCTAATACAAAGGAAGGGAAGCAAGGCAGGAAGACAATCCACACAGATCAACAGCCAAATTCAAGCTGGAGGGAGACCATGAGCCCTGTGAAGTTCCGTCTGCCTTTGAAAGTCTGGTTTCACAGGGCAGACGGGGTGGTTGAGTTGGCGGGGTGGAGACAGAAACCTGCCTCTTTTCATCAATGCTGGCTCCTTAGGGCTCCCACTTTTCCAACATGGTCAGTACGTGGACCCCAACCTGAAAGGGAAGCAAAGTGCCACACACGCGAAGACAAGTTTTATTTGGGAAGAGCTTCTCACTGTTAAAGCTGCAAGCAAGTGCCTTTCACAATGACAGTCCTATGGACCTAGTAGTTTCAGAGATCCCAGTGTTCAAAAGTTCATCTCAAACTTAAAAGCACACCCACACCAAAAGGAAAGCATTTTTAGACTCCTTTGGAATGTAGTCATGGATTCCAGCTCTTCTCAGAAACTGGCCCACTGCTTCCTGGGAACCAGGTGGGAGGCAGGCAATGCCCACAGAAGGAAATGTCTCTAAATAAGTTAGCTACTGGACGAGCCGAGCCGTCCTCCGAAAACACAGGAAGCAGCGCGTCTCAGCTGGTGGGGTGTGTGGCACAGCCCTTTGCACGGGGCGCTTATGGGATCCCAGGGCGGCAGCTGCTGGGGTGTGCTGTCCACAGGGAAGCCATCCTGGAAGGGCGAGTAACGAAGGGCAGGGATCTCTCCCCGTCCCACTCGGCCTTCACCTTACTACAGCAGAGGCCCTGCTCTGTGGGATCTTCAGGAAAACTTGCAACAGTTAAAAAACAAAACAAAACCCCCCTCATACAATTCCCCAGAAAGTCTGTCTGCAAAGAGAAAGGGACTTGGTCAGGGCTCCCACGGGGGGCTCCTCCTCCCATCCACTTCCGTCTCCACGTGATACAAGACATCGGCCAGAGTGTGCTCCACCACGGCGCCCCAGCCCATGTCACTCATCTGTGGGGAGACAAGGGACAGAGATTGAGGTGAGACGAGAGCAGCGGAGGTGGGAAGTAACAGAGACGAGGATGCTCGCAGTGGGGCTCAGGGGTACTCACAGGGCGGTACGTGAGATCCTTTGGCGGGTACTTGAAGCATGGTCCAAAGTTTATGGAGACCTGGGACAAATTCAATCCAAGCAGACGTGAAGAGAAGAAAGTAGTGAAAACCTTAGCGTGATAAGGGAGGCTTTTAAAAGTAGCCGTGATATTCAGAGTACAACAGGAACAAAAGATATACATTAATAATTGCTAAAAGTGGTCAAGGCATCAAGAATTAGGTAAACAGACTTTGCTGATTTCTGTTTATAACCTAGATTTCCTTGTATGACTTCAGCAGTGGCTACTGACAGGTAAAAGGACATGGAAACTTCCAGACGTTGCCTTTGCAAAATTTTTTTAAACTGGCTCTAATGATAAGTCTCCTTCATGCTGAATCATATTAAAAAAAAAAATTCACTATAAGCAACAGTTACTGATGATGTTAGGTTATCATGACACATAACAGCAAATTGATGTATGCATGTAAACACCTTATATCCTTTACACTGAACAACACAGACCACGCAGCACGTCCAGAGGAAAGGTGTGGAGCGCAGTAACCAGGAGATCTTTACGCAAGCAGACACTTCCTAGAGCGCTCAACTGTTCCTGGAACAGGAGGAATACGCTGCCTTCCCACTCCTAGGCGCTTCACATGTCCCTCTAGAACCCGACTCACGGCTCTCGGACCACGGCGGCTCACCCACCTCTCTCGAGCTGTGTTTGCAGGACGGACAGAGGGTACGTACCGTGCAGCTCTTGTACAGGGAGATGGCCGGAAAGTAGACCCCCTCAAAAATGTCTTTGTAAGCCACACCTTGATTGACACCATTTTTATAAAAAATTATCTGAAACGGAAACCATGGTTTTACTTCAGAATTTCAAAAAAGAACACACTAAAGTGAACTCTGCTGGAGGACACTTTACTAGCGGTTTGGGGGCGGCCCATCTAAGGAATTCCAAGAATAGCATACAGCTCGTTTAATAGCAATAGCTGACACTTATGCAATACCTTAGGTTTTTTCACTGCATATCTACATGCATTGTTGTATCTGTCTCTCATATGTATCTATTTCTGAATTCCTATGCTACTTACACCAAATAGTTCCACTTTCTGTTATTCATTGTATTTATACAAAGCAGCTGGTCTTCCACTGGCCCCTTGAAGCGACACCCTTTTAAGCTTATTTATTTGTCCCCTTCCCTTGCCTCAGGTCCTCCCTTCTGCACTTCTACTATGAAAATCTCGCAGATCTTCTGTCAAGGTCCTGGAATTATCCTTTCTTTGTCCTTTCTCTCTTGAAACTATCCTGAATTTTCTCTCTTAACCACCTGAGATGGACTTCAGAAAAAGCTGCTTTTTCTGAAGTACCCTTCTCTACTCTTCTTCCCAGAAACAGCTATGTTCCACCTGGCTGTATTTTCTGGCTCAATTAACTGCTTGCCTTCACTACTTTTCCCTGAAACAACCGGAATCCTAAGCGTATTCTCCCACATTTGCTTCTATTACTGTCAATCACAGGTGGCTTCACAGCATTTTTATGGAGGAATGTCCCCAGCTCAGGACTTCTCTTCCACCCCTCCCCTTCTATCTTTGGCCCTTGTGGTTGGTCCAGATACACCAGCCCTTCTTTGTGCCGTAACCTTGGACAAACATATTCCCAACAACCCTGGAGAAGGGAGGCGGGGAGAGTTCTAGAAGACACTGAGTAAGCCAGCAGAGCTCATGTTGCCCCGGATCATTCCAGTGATCTGCTTCTGCAGTGTTCGCTTCCTCGACTGCCTGCAGACGACCCTTATTCAGCTGCTGTTTTACATCCTTTTCTCCGAGAACCCAGGTGAACCTTCTCGTGGCAGCAGGCACCCCAGGAAGAACCACACACGGCAGGCAGGAGAGTGTGTCGGCCCTGCTGTTGTTTTATCAGCAGAAATCCCCCCACGGCGCCGTGGGCCTTAGCTCCCTCCCTTTCATAACAAGGGGCCTGGGCCCAGGGAACAAATTCTTCTCCTTCTGACATTTAATGACCAAGACTCACCTCACTGTGAGGAGTCTGCTTTAGGCTCTTCTCGGCTTTATCCACAAAGTCTTTTTCTTCAAAATACAAATAACTCTTGAACTTTATTAAAGCCTTGAAAACCGAGAGAGAAAAGGAATAGTGAAGCAGCAGCTACATCATCATGAAAAAAAAGAAAAAGGCCAGATTCACATAAATAGCATGAGTCTCTGTGTTTTGAACAAAATTTAAAATCTCTGCAGAGACAGCTCTGTTATACTTTGAACCATGTGCATCTTAAGAATTACCAGACGGTACACACTTATTAAACATCTTCATAAAAGGCCCTTACTAAGACTTGGCGGGGGTGGTCACTTTCTTCCCTGCTAGCTCCCTACCTGTTTCTCCCATACATAGTCTCTGGGTCACTCCTTTCTTATGGTTCCCAAGACTCTTTAACTATTTACTTCCAGGTAAACATATGACAGTAAATTTTTTTACCTTTTCTTCTTTTGGGGGGCTGCATCACGTGGCTTGTGGAATCTTAGTTTCCTTAACTTTAGACACTTTGGAGGCTGTGTAGTAGTATTTCATTTGGTTTAAATTATCGTTTCTCTGGCTAATGATATTGAGCAGTTTTTCATGTGTGTACTGGCCATTCATCTTTTGTGAAGTTTCTGTTCAAATATTTTAACTTTTTAAAAAAATTGGATTGTTCATCTTTTTAATGAGTTATAGGAGTTACAGAACAGAAACTTCACAAAAGTCAGATGAATGACCAGTAGGAACATGAAAAATGGCTCAATATCATTAGTCAAAGAAATGCTAATTTAAACCAAATGAAATACTACTATACACCCACCAAAGTGACTAAAACTAAGTTTGAAAACAACAAATGCTGACAAGGATGAGTGCAACGAAAACACTTACACACTATTAGTGGAATGGAGACTTTGACAATTTCTTATAAAACTAAATGTAACAACCCAGTAATTCTATTTCTAGACAATGACTACAGAGAAATGAAAACATGTTGAAAAAAAGATCTGTACAAAAATATACACAGCAACTTTATAATAACCCGGAACTTGAAATGGCCCCAGTGTCTGTCAGTAAGAATGTGGAAAAGCACAGACAACAGAAACTACTCTGCAGTAGAAAGGAAAAGACCAGAGAGTCCTGTAACAACACGGAAGAACCTCAAAGAACTATGCCAAACAATAAGAGCCAGACACAAGACCACACACACTCTGATTCCATTTACCTGAGTTCAAGAGCAGAGAAAACTAGTGGAACAGAATTGTGATGGAGGAAAAATTCACAACAGTGGTTGCTTCAATGTGGGGTAGAAGCTGGGGACTGACTGGGATGGGGTATGAGGGAACTTCCTGGGGTGGAAAATTGGACATCTCCACAGGGTTTGGGTCAAACTCAAAACGCGGTGAACATACACTTAAATTTTGTATGCTTCATTTTATGTAAATTTTATTATCAAAAGAAAAAACTAAACAAAGGTTGTTGCTGTTTAGTTGCTAACCTGTATCCGAGTCTTCGTGACCCCATGGACTGTAGCCTCCAGGCTCTTCTGTCCATGGGATTTGCCAGGCAAGAATACTGCAGTGCACTGCCATTTCCTTCTCCAGGGGGTACTCCTGACCCAGTGTAGGACCCTCGTCTCCTGCAATGCAGGAGGATTCTTTACTGCTGACTCACCAGGGAAGCCCAAACAAAGATAAACTCTAGCTAATGATATGCAAAGATCTGATAGACAGAGTGCCTGATGAACTATGGTCAGAGGTTCCTGACATTATATAGGAGACAGGGATCAAGACCATCCCCAAGAAAAAGAAATGCAATAGAGCAAAATGATTGTCTGAGGACTCCGTATAAATAGCTGTGAAGAGAAGCTAAAAACAAAGGAGAAAATGAAAGATATACCCATTTGAATGCAGAGTTCCAAAGAATAGCAACGAGAGATAAGAAAGCCTTCCTCAGCGATCAATGCAAAGAAATAGAGGAAAACAACAGAATGGGAAAGACTAGAGATCTCTTCAAGAAAATTAGAGATACCAAGGGAACATTTCATGCAAAGATGGGCTCCATGAAGGACGGAAATGGTATGGGCCTAACAGAAGCAGAAGATATTAAGAAGAGGTAGCAAGAATACACAGAAGAACTGTACAAAAAAGATCTTCACAACCCAGATAATGATGATGATTCGATAACTCACCCAGAGCCAGACATCCTGGAATGTGAAGTAAGGTGGGCCTTAGTGGCTAACAAAGATAGTGGAGGTGATGTAATTCCAGTTGAGCTATTTCAAATCCTAAAAGATGATGCTGTGAAAGTGCTGGACTCAATATGTCAGCAAATTTGGAAAACTCAGCAGTGGCCACAGGACTGGAAAAGGTCAGTTTTCATTCCAATCCCAAAGAAAGCTCAAACGACCACACAATTGCACTCATCTTACATGCTAGTAAAGTAATGCTCAAAATTCTGCAAGCTAGGCTTTAGCAATACGTGAACCATGAACTTCCAGATATTCAAGCTGGTTTTAGAAAAGGCAGAGGAACCAGAGATCAAATTGCCAACATCTGCTGGATCATCAAGAAAGCAAGAGAGTTCCAGAAAAAAGAAATATTTCTGCTTTATTGACTATGCCAAAGCCATTGACTGTGTGGATCACAATAAACTGTGGAAAATTCTGAAAGAGATGGAAATACCAGACCACCTGACCTGCCTCTTGAGAAATCTGTATGCAGATCAGGAAGCAACAGTTAGAAATGGACATGGAACAACACACTGGTTCCAAATAGGAAAAGGAGTACGTCAAAGCTGTATATTGTCACCCTGCTTATTTAACTTATATGCAGAGTACATCATGAGAAACGCTGAGCTGGATGAAGCACAAGCTGGAATCAAGACTACTGGAAGAAATGTCAATAATCTCAGATATGCAGATTACACCACCCTTATGGCAGAAAGTGAGGAAGAACTAAAGAGCCTCTTGATGAAAGTGAAAGAGGAGAGTGAAAAAGTTGGCTTAAAACTCAATATTCAGAAAACTAAGATCATGGCATCTGGTCCCATTACTTCATGGCAAATAGATGGGGAAACAGTGGCTGACTTTATTTTTGGGGGCTCCAAAATCACTGCAGATGGTGACTGCAACCATGAAATTAAAAGACGCTTACTCCTTGGAAGGACAGTTATGACCAATCTAGACAGCATATTAAAAAGCAGAGACATTACTTTGTCAACAAGGTCCAACTAGTCAAGGCTATGGTTTTTCCAGTGGTCATGTATGGATGTGAGAGTTGGACTATAAAGAAGGCTGAGCACATAAGAATTGATGCTTTTGAACTGTGGTGTTGGAAAAGACTCTTGAGAGTCCCTTGGATTGCAAGGAGATCCAACCAGTCCACCCTAAAGGAGATTCAGTCCTGGGTGTTCATTGTAAGGACTGAAGTTGAAGCTGAAACTCCAATAATTTGGCCGCCTGATGCAAAGAGCTGACTCATTTGAAAAAAAGACGCTGATGCTGGGAAAGACTGAGGGCAGGAGAAGAAGGGGACGACAGAGAATGAGATGGTTGGACGGCATCACTGACTCCATGGACATGAGTTTGGGTAAACTGTGGGAGCTGGTGATAGACAGGGAGGCCTGGCGTGTTGTGGTTCATGGGGTCGCAAAGAGTTGGACATGACTGAGCGATTGAAGTGAACTGAACTGAATGATACGCATCCTGAAGTATTTGTGAAAGTTCTTCAGTTGTGTCTGACTCTTTGGGACCTCATGGACTATACAGTCCATGGAATTCTTCAGGAAAGAATACTGGAGTGGGTAGCCTTTCCCTTCCCCATAGGATCTTCCCAACCCAGGGATAGAACCCAGGTCTCCCACACTGCAGGTGGATTCTTTAACAGCTGAGCCACAAGGGAAACCCCCTGAAGTACTTGGCAGATGTTACTTTGTTGGGGTTAAAAAAACATGGATTAACGGGTGGCCGGGTTGGTGGGAAGAATGAATGGATAACACGGTTTTATAAACTTCTTTGGCTGAGTCAGTTCTTGTTTGCGGCACAGAGGACCTTCACTGCGGAGCACGGGCTTAGCTGTTCTGTGGCAACTAGTTCCCCAACCAGGGATCAAAGCCCGCTCCCTGTACTTCAAAGTGGATTCTCACCCACGGGACCACCAGGGAAGTCCCTGGATAATATATGATAATGGAAGAATCTAGGTATTGGGTATTTGGATGCCTACTTTTAAATTTTTTGAACTGTGTTATGTCTTAAAATTTCCAAAATGAAATGTTGGGAAAAATAAGCATCAAGAGAACATGCAGCTACAGGTATTGGCTGCCACTGGTCTTCAACCCCAGGAATCTCTCAGGAGGACAGACTCACCTTATCTTTGTAGGTATCGGGCAGTGACTTGGCTGTCTCTGTATCTTCAGGAAGATTGATATAAAATCCCAGGACGTCTCCCTGTCCATAGCCAGAAGAGTAGTGTTTGCCAATGGATTGGTGGAATTTGGTTCCCTTTTTGCTCCGCCAAGAATAACTAAATTTATCATAACCTAAGGGAGCCTGAAGGTTACCTGTTCCAAAAAAAATACACAGCAAGTCAGGACTGCAAGTCAACTCTGGCCTGCTGAAAGAAAAGATTCTACTCCTTTTTAATTTTTTTACCCACTTTTTTCAAACTGCTAACAAACTATTTCTCACAAGCAATGAATTATAAAAATACTCCTAGGAACTTCAACCTACCTAAACCCTCAGGAAATGAACATTATGCCCACAATCCAATAAGCCCCAAAGTCATGAAGACCAGCCAGACGAGAGACACCTCTCCACCTGTCACCATGTCTGTATCACAGCCCTGGCTTACCTAACGGCTGCGACCAGCCCAGTCTGGCCGCAGTGTCTGGTGGCATCTCATCCACTGTGATTTCAAAGTACCAGGCACCTTTCCGAACCCCATGAGAAGCCCGAACCATAGAGTAGCCCTTCTCGCCAACCACAGTCAGCCGGTCATCGGAGATCTTTAACTGGGGAGCTACAGTAATGGAGATGAAAAGAAAAGCCTGCAACTTATTTGAAATACTTGGAGACAACAGCCACAAAAACACGAAATCTCTTACCATCCAGTTAAGCAAAAGTAAAAATCAGAAATATCAAGTCAGGAATTTGAAATATTAGTTTAGGAGTTAAAAATCTGAAGATACAGATGAAGGCAGAGAAAGAAAGAAAAAGGAAAAAAGCTGTCAAGTAGCCAGTTGTTATTATATATGATTATTTAAGATGGCAGGTTAAATTAATTATACTGTCTATTCCCTAAAATACAACTGTGTTTGGATCCTGACATGACTAAGTCATCCTTTAGAAGACATTTTATTTGAAACAATTTCAAGCTTTCAAAAATAGCAGAATCCTCCCATGTCCTGCACTCAGCTCCCCCAAGTGTGAACACCACCTATGACCACATTACAAGGACCATACTGAGAGGATGCAGTATGTGCGACCATTTCTGTGATACTCCTGTCGAGAATGCAGAACTTGGATCACAAGGAACCAGATGAAACTAAACTGAGGGATACTTTGTAAAATAACTGGTCTCTTCAGAAGTGTCAAGGTCAAAGTCTAGGCAAGATGAAGAAACTGTTCCAGGCTGAAGCTGAATTAAGAATTACAACAACTAAATGCAGCAAATGATTTTCAACTGGATGCTTTTGCTATAATGGACACACTAGATCATCTGGAGAAACCTGCACAGAATCCGAGGATCGGATGGTAATAATTAGACGCTAACTTTCAGCCTTTGCTGATTGTGTACTGGTTCTATAGGTATGTAAGTTTAAAAAATAACTTCTAGTTCTTTTGAGATTCTTCCTGTCAAGGGATGGAGTCTAACTTCTCTCCACTTGAGTGTGGAATGAATTTAGTGACAATTTCCAAATAAAATCAAGTTGAAGTGACTGCCCAACTTTAAGATGGGTCAAATGCTTTACGGCTCCCTGATCAACTGCTCTGGGAGAAGTTAGCTTCCAGTGAAAGTGAAAGTCGCTCAGTTGTGTCCAACTCTTTGTGACCCCGCGGACTATACAGTCCATGGAGCTCTCCACAGCTTCCCGGGATGAGGACAAATTAGCAGTCTCTGGAAAGGACCACAAGTGAGGATCTGAGGGCGTCCCATCAAAGCTGCAGGACTTGGGCCATCTTGGAAAGAGGTTTGTCAGCACCAGCTGGGAGCTTGATGACAGCCTCCTGCGTTATCTCGAGCCAGGCCACACAGCTAAGCTGCTCCCAGATTCCTAACCCTCAGAACTGTGGGCTGATAAACACTGGCAGTTTTACTGCTAAGTTTTATGGCGATTCACTGTGCAGCACTAGAGAACACAAATGTCCTGTCTGTAAGAAACACAAAATAAACTTCTCACTGGTTGGAAGGACATCATGGCAACTTACTCTCAAGCGGTTCAGGAAAAAAAAAAAAACCAACAAATTTCCTACAGTTCTTACAACTTTCTTAAGAAATAAATCTGAGGGGACTTGCCTGGTGATCCAGGGGTTGGGAATCTGCCTTGCAATGCAGGGGATGCAGGTGCCATCCCTGGTCATGGAACTATGATCCCACTAGCCACGAAGCAACTAAGCCCACGTGCACTGCAGTGCAGACCCAGCACAACTAAGACCCCACACAGCCAGATAAACACGGAAATCGTTTCTTAAAAAACAGTAATAATCTGGCTCTCCTGGTGGCTCAGATCATAAAGAATCTGCCTGTAATGCAAAAGATCCAGGTTTGATCCCTGGGTCGGGAAGATCCCCTGGAGAAGGGAATGGCAACCCACTCTAGTATTCTTGCCTGGAGAATTCGATGGACAGAGAAGCCTGGTGGGCTACAGTCCACGGGGTCACAAAGAGTTGGACAAGACTGAGCTACTAATACTTTCACTTTCTTTAAAAAATAATAAATCTGAGATAACTTCAAAATAAAGCTTAAAAGATACTATATAGACGGTTAAGTTTTAAAAGGCTCAGCACAAGCAGCGGGAGCCACTACTATCCTATGTACTAAGTTCTAACAAGTCACTGCTAAGGGCCAGTGGTCTCCCTTTCTCCCCTCCAGAATTACACCTAATAGTGAAACAGTGAAACAAGACAAGGATCACTGCTTAAACCTGGATGTCACTTATCTGGCCCTTCCCTACTCTTCAAGTATGCTTGTCACTAGCAGGAGTCAATCCTACGACGGTTATTACACCAAGGGATTATGTCCAAGTGATTTCACTATGTCTCCTTCACTTTTGATCGACAAGCGTCAGTACAAGAGTTACAGCTTTTAGCACCAATTCAAGAAATTATGAAGGGGACTTCCCTGGTGGTCCAGGCGTTAAGAATCTGCCTGCAGATGCCGGGGTCAGGGATTCGATCCCTGGTCCAGGCATATCCCACATGCTCAGAGCAGCTAAGCCTGTGTACCACAACTACCGAAGCCCGCGTGCCCTGCAGCCCAGGCTTCAGGATGAGAGGCCACTGCAATTAGGAGCCTGAGCACCACAGCTAATGAAAGGCGTCACACAACAACAAAGACCCAGCACAGTCAACAAATAAATAAATTTTGAAAAAATTAGAAAATTAAAAAAAAAAAAAGAAAGAATGAAGGGCTTCCTAATGAAATAACTATATGGATGTGTTCAGATTTAATTAAAAGAAACAACTGAAAGAGGCATATTTTAAACGACCATGGACATGTGAACTGAGTATGGAATAATTAAGAAATTATTATTCACCTTCATTAGGTAACATAATGGCATGGTGGTTATTATCTTAAAAATCATGATCATAATCATATCAAAATCATAATATTTGCTGGAGATAAATACTGAGATATTTATAGGTGAAATAATATGCTATTTGGAATTTGCATTAATACTCCAGAAAAACAGCAAAAAAATTCATGAAGTACACCTGTCTAAAAGCAGTTTCTTTAAATTCACTTTCACATCCTAAAGGATAATAAATGCTATTCTCTTAATAATTGAATAAATTATGCCATTAAAAGAACTATTATATGTTAAAAATAGTTTCACATTTCAAAAAAGTCATACGCAAAGTCAAAAGACAACTGACAAACCAGGAGAAAATGTTTATAATATATACCACAGACAAAGGGTTAACTAACATCCCTAACATATGAAGGGACAAAAGATCAAACTCCCAACAGAAACAGGGGAAATAAAAAAACATGAACCTAATTCACAAGGTAACAACTCAAAATAGAAAATAACGTTCAAAGAAACACAAAACCCTGAGACTCCATTTGTCACCTCTCAGACGGGCCAAAATTAATACCTAGGAAATCTTCTGTGAGGTCATGTGGAGACAAACATTCTCTACATTGCTGGTGGAAACGCAAAGCAGCACAACGGGAAACTTAGCAATATTTAACAAAACTACAGATATATTTATTTTGGTTCAGCAATTCCACTTCTAGAATTCTACTTTGGAAAATACACCACCACCAATACACACCCAAACACAAACACCCACCAAAGCTATCCCCTGCTTCTCTGTCAATCCAAAATCCTAGAAACAACCTAAGTGCCCATATTCAAAGTGGCTGAATAAACCATGTACATCCACATAATGGTATATCATAAAGCTAAAAAAAAGAAAAAAAAAGTGGACGAGCTCTTTGAAATAGTCTGGAGTAACTGCATGAAGCAAAATGCAAGACTCCCTACAGTATGCTGCCTTTCATGTACAAAAAAAAAAAAAAAGGAGCAAAGGAAATACATGTGTGTGCTCATCTCTGCAGAAAAAACACAGCCAGGATGAACTAGAAACGAAAGACACTGGCTAAGTACAGACGGTGTGGGAAAGCAGTGGAGAAAAAGGAGGCAATGAGAATGGGGCAGCAGGGCTGCGGAGGGGGTGACTGAGCAAACCTCAGTGAAGAGCAGTAACTTTCAGAACCCCAGTAACGTCACTTGTACCCCTCCCCAACCCCCTATACACACACACGCCCCCAGCAGGCAGGAGAGCCCCACATGGCACACCAACACTAACGCATACACCCACCCACATCACAAACGGAAGTTGTGACCACGCTGAAGGAGGTGGGGAAGCAAAGAACTCATCTTCTAAGTCAACAGTATCCACACGGGATAGTGCAAGGCTGAGGCCATACATACATGTACGGCATGTATGTATAGCCGTACATACATGCTATAATCTAATCAGTGAATGCTTCCTACAGAGGCCTGCAATTCTCAAACCACCTTGTGTGCACATTCGACATGAATAAGAAAGAAAATGTATTGTAGATAATTAGTCAGGTTTCTCACTGCTCCAGAAAGAAGTTACAAACACAGAAAGGTGGAAGGCTGGAACAACTCCATGGTGGTTGTTCAATCGCTCAGTCATGTCTGACTCTGCGATCCCAGAGACTGCAGCACACCAGGCTTCCCTGTCCTTCACTATATCCCGTTTGCTCAAACTCATGTCCACTGAGTCGATGATGCCATCCAGCCATCTGGTCCTCTGTCGTCCCCTTCTCCTCTTCAATCTTTCCCAGCATCAGGATCTTTTCCAATGAGTTAGCTCTATGCATCACGTGGCTAAAGTACTGGAGCTTCAGCTTTAGCATCAGTCCTTCCGATGAATACTCAGGACTGATTTCTTTTAGAACTGACTGGTTTTGATCTCCTTGCAGTCCAAGGAACTCGCAAAAGTCTCCTCTAGTACCACAGTTCAAAAGCATCAATTCTTCAGTGCTCAGCTTTCTTTATAGTCTAACGCTCAGATCCATACATGACTACTAGAAAAACCATAGTTTTGACTATACAGACCTTTGTTGGCAAAGGGATGCCTCTGATTTTTAATACACTGTTTAGGTTTGTCACAGCTTTCCTTCCAAGGAGCAAGTGTCTTTTAATTTTACGACTGCAGACCCTACAGTGCTTGATTACAATCCAAGGTGGCAGAATAAACTCAGTACAGGCATGTATGTGTGTCGGTTACGACGCAGACATTTATTTTCCATCTGGGTCCACCGAGGGAGCCCGGAATACCACCCAGTAACAGCGAGCATACTGAACGCTCACATCTTCACTTCTGAGGCTGTTTCCCAATCAAAGGAATCTGGGCTCCCTGGAGAAGCTGATCCTTGGCCTGTAGCACGGAAAATGTGAGATGAACCAGAAACGACCAACTTGTGATGCCAGTAAGTAAGGGAAAATAAATGATGGGGCTCATCAAAAGGACACAAGACATTCCATCGGCAACAATGTTAGATGGACCCGGAGGGCATTATGCTCAGCGAAATAAGTCAAAGAAAAAGTATTTTGTTATCATTTATATGTGGAATCTAAAAAACCAAATGAATGCGTGAAACAAGAAAGAGATCCACAGATATAGAGAACATACTAGGGGTTACCAGAGGTGCATGAGGGAAGAGGGGATGGGCAAGATACAGGAAGAGGACCAAGGGGTACAAACCACTATGTATAACCCAATAGGTTATGAGACTATATTGTACAGCATCAGACAACATAGCCATTACTTTGTAACAACTTTGAGTACAATCTATAAGAACACTGAACCACTATGTTATAAACCTGAAACTAATATTATAAGTCAATTATACGTCCAAAAAAAAAACCAAAAACCAAAAAACCCACAGGAACCAACCTAAAGAAGCTCCTAATGACCAAAGCTGGAGTAATTTGAATGACAAAATAAAATATAGCCTACAAAATAAGTAAATATGTGTTAAGTCCACAATGATAAAAATAATCAATTAAATAATTAAATAGAGAAAGGGAGAAATAGCAAACGATTAGGCAAATACCACACTAACAATAAGATCCACAAATGGATGCTAAAATTAGTGGGCAAAACTTTAGAGAAACAGGATATTTGCATAACCTCGAAGGATCTTTCCCTAAGATATGTATTAACTACAAAGGGAAAGAGTAGAGAGCGCCAGCAGAAACCACCCTAACCAAATGACTGTGCCCACGCAACCAGTAACAAGACAGACTGACATCATGAGCCTACAGATGATGCAGTGGGAAGGGTCTATGTGTGCAGAGTGCTTACAACCTCAGTCTAATCATGAAAAAAAGTCAGACAGACCCTCACTGAGGAACAGTCAAAATATAGCTGATTAACACTGCAAGAAGAAATAATTAAACGCAATGTGAGATCCTAGAAAAGAGGCATTAGTGGAACACTGGTGAAATTTATAAAGTCTTTAGCTTCATCCATAGTATTTACTAATGATAATCTCCTGGGTTTGTGGGTTTGTTGTTTTTTTTCTGGCTGTGCTGAGCAGCTGAGGATTGAACCCTTCGCCCGCTGCAGTGGAAACTCAGATTCGTAACCACTGGGCCTCCAAGGCAGTCCCATCTCCTGGTTTTGATAACTGTACTGTGGCTGTGTAAGATCTCACCATTAGGAGAAGTTTGATGAAGGATATATGAAAGTTCTAGTATTTTGTGTTTTGCGGCCTGGTGGCTCAGATGGTAAAGAATCTGCCTGCAACGCAGGAGACGCAGGTTCGATCCTTGGGTCAGGAAGACCCCCTGGAGAAGGAAATGGCTACCCACTCCAGTACTCCTGATTGGAAAATTCCATTGACAGAGGAGCCTGGCAGGCTATATGGTCCATGGGGTCACTGAGTTGGACATGACTGAGCAACTAACACTTTCACTTTCAATATGGAAATTCTATTATTTTTGCAACTTTACTGTAAGTTAAAATTAGTTCAAAATAGAAAATTTTTAAAAAATTATTCTGTATATAAATGGCTAGAGCTTATAAGAACAGATAAAGAAGAAAATGACTTCTTGCATTCCAGCTGAGTCTAGTTAGAGAGGGGTGAGGATTAGACTGGCACGTCCGTCTAATTCTAGACAGGACAGAGCTGACGATAGTAGTTCTGAGCAACACAGGGCCCAGCGCGAACATTAACAGCTTACCCACCTCGATCATGGAGGGCTAACAAAACCCGCTCGTATAAGCAGGCTCTGTAGAGGTCTCCGGGAATCGGTTTTCCTGCCCAGCAGTCGAGTTCGAGCTTCTCAGGGTCAGGGGCGTGGGGATCAGGCTCAGCTAGAATATAGCGATAGCCATCTTTGTTAAACGGGTGTTCCAAGGGGTAGCCATGAGGGGGAAGACGCTGAGCAGAAAACAAAGGGTCACTGCAGAAAGGAAAAAATAAAATCAAGAAACTACAACCCCCTCTAGCTCACGTGCCTTCAATTCTGTCAGACAGGCCTCCGCTGTATTCAATTTCAACTGGAACACTGGCAACTTCACGTGTTTTTTGTTACTCAAATAGATCATTCTGCCCTCTGCAGGCAAGACGGGGAAATGAAACTATTTTATCTTCTCTGAAACTAAGCCACGGGAGACAGGGTGAAGAGGAACAAGAGCGGTTTCCTTCAGCATATTTATTACTATGACTAATGAACAGAAACTCAGCGATATGAACACCTACTACCTGTTTCCAGTCTGAATAAGAAATGACCTGGCTTTCGCCACCCACGTACTAAACAAAGTGAAGGGAAGAGTTATCGGGGGAGAGGCAGAAAGTTTACTGTACAAGGGCTGACGTTCAATATTGGTTTGTTTCATGCCTTTGGTCCACCTATCCTTTCTCAAGCCGCCTTAGCGGAGCCTCACTCCGGTCAATCACCACAGGGTGCTGCCCTGGGGCTGTTTCATTTAGAAACAAGTTCCCCAAACAGGGCACCTAGTCTGGGCTAATATACCCCTCAAACTGTGTAAGATTTGAGGAAAAGAGACAGGCTGTGCCCACAGACAGCTGATCTCTCCCCTCACTGAGGGGCCCTGCATCCCTCTGCCGTGGGGGGTGTTCACCTCCGGGCCTTCTTGGTGGTCCCCGCGGTGCTGCCGTCCTGCTGTTTGCGCTTGGCTCCTCTGCCTTTCCCGCTGCTTCCTGCTGCGATTCCTCCTTTGAAGACAAGGCAGATCACTTTCAGTGAGCTATGACAGACACCCCGTGGGACTCTCCCCAGGGACAAACACTCCCAGCGTGCATTTGTGCGACACCACAGGATTTCCTGCCCGGAATCATACTGGACTTCACCCTGGTTCGCCTGAGTCTGCTGGGTGGCTCCCGGCCCAGAACACTGCGTTCTGGCAGCGACTCCAGTGAGCCCAGCACCAACGACACCCGGATTACAATTGTGCTCTTCGCCTCTTAAATGAACTGCAACTCCTGGAACACATTCCAAGGATGTGACACAAATGCATTTTCACTCACTCAGACTGCAGATACTCACAGCTAGAAGTAACTGTGTGGATAGTTTTTCCCACTTAAATCAATACAAACATCCATAAGAAGAACATCCTCACTGAAGGGATGCTTGCTTGCGTGAACTACACATGACATAGTCCACAAACACAAGAGAGGCACAGGATCTGCTAAAGCGCTGAACTTGAACTGCCAACAACACAGAACTGCACCAAACGTGGAAACAAAAAACGGAAATACTAAAAAGGTGTTTCTCTTCAGTGCTGCTAGGCATCTGGTGTGGTTATACATGACACAAGGAGGAAAGACGGCTTTTTTAGTAGGCAATCTTTACAGTGATTAAAATTGTGCCAGTGCATCAAATTTAGGTTAGATGAATCTGGCTTGTGGAATTAAGAGAAAATACAGAGAGAATTTATAAAAGCCACAAGGAATACTACCTTGTGCATTTCTGAAATAGGTACTTTGAAATTTTTGTCCAGTTGTCATTCCTCTCAATTAGTTTGTTTTTCCAACTTCCAGGAAACATCCCTGAACTGTAGGAAAACACCTTTAGGTAAACAACTGCACAAAGTACTGTATCTTAATTTGGGGCAAGCTTGGAAATTATCAGCAGTTCCGCTGCAATAAAAAGAGGATCAAGACGTTGAAGGCAGGCCATATTCTGCACAGACAGGACCAGATTTATGCTGAACTTCCTTTTAAGAACATATCGGGTGTCATCCTGTCCTCATAAAAGGCTTAATGTTGAACTGTTACAACATCAACATTTCTACAGTGTGTTACCTTAATCAAAAAACTATTAAGGTTTTATTGGCACTGCATTTCAATTATTTTGAGACAAGTTTTAGATCCACGTTGAAAAAATAAGCAACACTAAGGGGACTGCTGGCCGTGTCAGGCAGAATGTGACAACGTACAAGCTTCCAATTACTAACGTTTAACTGGAACTACTGTTTCATATCAAGTGCTACTGCCACCAACTCCACAAGGCTTTACAATCTTAACTCAGTTTCAGCTTCTATCACAACTCAGCAAAAAGCATTTTCCAAACCACAAAATACTTAAGTCTGAGAGGCTGAAAGAAGACAGAGGAGGAATTCACCTCCAAAAGAGGCTCCACCTGTAAGAACAGAAGTGGCACCATGTATTCGTCAAATTTTAACAAAAGGGGGAAAATAAGGTAAAGAGATGAACAACACAGTTATATTAGTAACAGTGGAAATGATTACATATTTAAGACCCTACCCCTCCAGAAAAGAAGGTAATGACACAGTATGTCAGATGAAGAGCTGGCTACCTCCCCATTATACCTGCTTTCAACTTGTTGCCATTAGTAGCAAAGGGCTGTCCTGCTCTTAGACAGGTTAGACAGAAAAACATGCTACAGTGGGTGGTCAACAGAGAAATGCTGTCATGTGCATAAGCTGAAGATTTAGGGCAAGAAAAATAAGAAGACAGGTCGGAAGCTAAATAACAGTAGAATTAAGGAAAACTTGAGTGCAAAGCATGTGAACCTAAATTAAGTGTTAGTTATGAAGATAGAGATGGGGAGTCGAATGCAAACTTAGTAAATCTGACCTTAAAATTATAGCTTGTTTTACGTTAAATGTTTCACTTAAGACCAAACTGTGGTGCAAAGTAACAAAAATTTCTCCTCTACAACCATCTCTCAAATCTGTGGCTAGCCCCTAAAAATCGAGATTTAGACTTTAAAGCACCTTAGTAAATACCTAGTCAAGGGTCAGTCCAAAGACTGCCCAATTCTAGGCACATGTGGATTCAACAGCTTACAAACATTTCGTCCATGAGATACTGAAACACTCACCATTTAGATTCCCACTGGTAGACACAGCACCACTCTGTTTTTGGTTGTCATAAGCAGGACCGATGTTACTAAGATCCTAGAGGGAAAATATTCAATTATAGAGGGTGGCTACCAAATCAAAACAGCTCTGGCAATGCTCAAAAAAAAAAAAAACCTACACCAGGAGAAATTCTAACAGAATGGCAAACTAGACTGTGAAGCCTGCAGAGGTCCCAAACTTAGATGCTTCAGGGATCAACAAGTCCCATGTGTGAGGCAGCCAAGGGCGAGGATGGAAGTGCTTTCAGAATCAGGCTGAGCCAGGCTGGGGGTGCTGGAGGGGGAACAGGGAGGGGTGGTAGACGACCAAGGGCTACCAGGCCCAGCATGGCCAGAGCTTCACATTTTACAAGGAAAGACAGAAATCTCAATCTCTATGGAATCTGAGGTGGAAAGAAAATCAGAAATAACTTGGAATGGCGTATTTGTGTTACAAGTGAGAAAACAGAAGTTTAAAAAGATAAAAATGGTATGTGTCAAGTCGTAACATTTTAGGGAAGAGCTACAACTAACACACCGGTCTCCCAGTTTAAGGTGAAGTGCTCTTTCTTTCACATAGAATAAGAATCATTTATTTGGAGCCCACTGGGTCATAGGCATTTTAAGTGGCAAATACACAAATGTAAACACAGCCTGATTCTCTCTGTCCCCGTGGCTTAAAAATCAAACAAGGGCCTGTGAGGCCTATTAACGTACCTGGTCCAGTAGGCCAAACTTGGGGTAATCTTCTTCTGGGTCCTTACTCCCTGGGTCAGGGTGTTCCTTTACTAAGAACACATCTCTTTCTTTACTCTAAAAGGAAACAGTATTTTAGTGTTACTGGAAATTTTATACTTAAACTGAATGGATGATTAACCCCTAACTCCCAATTCCCAGGTGTAATCTCCAAATCTCAACACCAACACCCTGCCCCCTGGGGGGGGGGGGGAACCCAACACACACCAGTATTGTTTTTCCTTGACTAGAAAACGAATCCATGACTATTAAAAAATACAAACAGTAGAGAAACTAGAAGAAATGAGAGCCACCATCCTTCATAACCCTCACTCATCCCCGCACCTCACAGAGACACACAGTGCTAGCAGCTTCAACTGATGTCTCCCCAGGTGCTCTAACGACAATAATGTTCAGAACAGAGTTTGCTTTTCTTAATCAAAGAAAACAACTGTCTCCAATTTAGGCATAAGACTATACTTGCCAAACGGCAATGGACAAAGGATTCAGCAGCGTACATAAAACTACCATATCTTTACTTAAGACTATATGCGACTTACTGATTTTGTGTGAAAACTATTAAAATTTACAATTACTAAGATTTAATACTGTTGCTCTCATTTTTTTTTAGTCATCACATTATTTCAGTGAGACCACCACCAAAAAAAAAACCAACAAAACCCATTTATTTATATACATATATATAATTTCTTGTATAAATTCTTAAAAGGAACACTGGTTTTCTAAATGTTGAGTCTAGTCAATTTTAGCTAACTTACCATAGTTTTCACAATGTTATTTGGCCAGGTCATTTTCCCAGGTCTTTGTCTGGTCGTCATGCATTCCCAGTATTTATCAATAAACGGTATGATATCCTGATTTTTAAAACAAAATATGCTAAAGGTTTTATAGCTGCTTTCAAAATTATGCTCACACACGTAAAAAAACTGCTGCATTTTCAAAGATCTCATCAGAATCAAAAGACAAACGCATGTTTTTCATGTTTTAATAACTGAATGAGTATATAACTGCACGTGAACAACATGTAAGTTGTGGGGAATTTCAAACAAGCATACACAACTCTTAGCCACACAGGGCTTATGTTCCAGTTAAAGGGAAAAGATGTGCCCTGGTCTCTTGGCTGCCATCTGGAAGACGGCTCCCAGCATCCTCTCTCCTGAGCTCCTGCTCCTCAGCGCTGGGGACATCTCTACCTGGACATCCTGCACGTACCTCAGACACCTTGTGACTAGGACTGACCTCGAACCTCACCTCACAAATCTACGCTGCAGATTTCCATTCTTGTTCTTCACACTCAGGATCACCCAGAATCACAGGTTTGACACACAGTAACCCTCATCCTTCTCATACAACTTGCCCATCTCAGCGATCACCAAATGAACTTCAAAATTCCAGAAAATGTTCATGAATCAGGCCTCCTTCCCACCCCCATTGCTCTGACTGTGGTCCTTGCCAGTCCCTGCTTACATGACCAACACAGTGTCTGAACTTCATCTTGTCACCAACTTCCTCCCACCCTAGGCCACCGGCCCCAGCCCACCACTAACGTCTTTCACCAGAGTCATTTCCATGAACACAGAATCTTTACTGAAAGGAGCCAGGCTGAATTAGGGGAAGTATAAAGGAAGACTGGAATGTCTTCTTATTCAAGATGGTAAGGAAGAGTTCAGACTGATAGGGACATATCAAAAAGTGTCCAGAGTCAGCCAGGATGGCGCTACACTGGTCAGATCTGAGCATCAGAAATCCAGAAATCCCATGATGGACTATAAAAATCAATGAGTCTTAAAACTAAAAACAACAGCAACAGCAATGACATGGGGGTGGGGGGCTCTTCTTTACAAAAGAACCGTAACCAATAAATATATTCTGTGTACAAGGACCACTCTCTTAACTGATTGAGGCTAGGATAATCAGTGGTTACAACTACCACTGCTTGAAAGGGTTGCGAGAACAAGATATTCACACGAACTCCATGTATCACCCATGAATTACTTAATGATTACAAAGAAAAAGGGTCTCTTTACAGTGGAGAAATCAAGTGGTCACATTTGGGATCACTAATAATAAAACAAAGCAATGTCTTATGCCTCCGAATGGAATATATAGAAAAACACATACTACCTACATAATATTCTTGCCAAAAATGTTTAAGCTGAACCTAGTCATAAGGAAACAAGTCGATAAATCCAAATTGAGGAACATCATGGCAAACAACTGTCTAGGCTCTTCAAAATTTCAAATACCATTGCAAACCAAAAAGAAAAAACGAATTGCTCTAGAGCTAAAAGGGACATTACAATTAAATTCAATGTGTGATCCTTGATCAGGTCCCGGCTGGAAGAAAAAGCTATGAGGGACATTATTTCGACAATAATGTTGAGAAAATGTACAAAGAATACACAAAACACACAAACTATATATATAAGAAAACTGCACTGACATCAATTCTTTCGAGTGTGGTCATTGTATTGTGGTTGACAGAATACTGGATAAAGTATAATATCTACAATTTTATAGATATTATATTTACATGTAAGCTTTAAGTCTCATATAAGCTTATGAGGAAAATATACATATGGGTAGATAAAGCAAACAGCAAAATAGTAACAGCAGGCAAATCTAGATAAGGAATAAACAGGCATTTATTGTAGTATATGAATTTTTTGAGTATTTGAAAAATTCAAAATAACAATTTGGAAGGAAAACACAAAGAGACAAATCTAATCATAGCATACCTCTGTTTAAACGCATTCTTTTTTTTTTTTTGAAGTTTTGAAAACTTTTATTTTATATACAAAGAGCTAGTATTATTTCCACCTATGGTTGATGTGCTGGATGAGCCACCTAAGGAAGTTTGGTTAGTCCAACTTAATGAAGCCGATGTCCTTCGCATACTGGCGCAAACACTGGCGGCACATATTGAGGCCGTATTTCTGGATCAGACCGTGCCGGTTTGAGCAGACCCGGCAAGAGCGAGAACCCTGGCCGAATTTTCTCGGATGGCTCCAGTAGAACTGCTGGTGACCCATGTTGCTTTCTCAGCTGCAACGAGGTAAAAGGCTAAACGCATTCTTTTTAATGTAGAAAAAAAAGCCCGGCAGGGGCAAGGGGGGCCCTCTGCTGACTCCCTCAGCTTTCAGGATTAAGCCCTAACTCGTCTGTTTAGCAGAAAAGGCCTTACTCAGTCTGATCCTGAATATACTGGTCTCACTAAACAATGGAACAACAGACTGGTTCCAAATAGGAAAAGGAATACGTCAAGGCTGCATATTGTCACCCTGTTTATTTAACTTATATGCAGAGTACATCATGAGAAATGCTGGGCTGGAGGAGGCACAAGCTGGAATCAAGATTGCTGGGAGAAATATCAGTAACCTCAGATATGCAGATGACACGACCCTTATGGCAGAAAGTGAAGAAGAACTAAAGAGCCTTTTGATGAAAGTGAAAGAAGAGAGTGAAAAAGTTGGCTTAAAACTCAATATTCAGAAAACTAAGATCATGGCATCCAGTCCCATCACTTCATGACAAATAGATGCGGGAACAGTGGGAACAGTGGCTGACTATTTTTTGGGCTCCAAAATCATTGCAGATGGTGACTGCAGCCATGAAATTAAAAGACGCTTACTCCTTGGAAGGAAAGTTATGACCAACCTAGACAGCATGTTAAAAAGCAGAGACATAACTTTGCCAACAAAGGTCAGTCTAGTCAAGGCTATGGTTTTTCCAGTAGTCATGTATGGATATGAGAGTTGGACTATAAAGAAAGCTGAGCACAGAAGAATTGATGCTTTTGAACTGTGGTGTTGGAGAAGACTCTTGAGAGTCCCTTGGACTGCAAGGAGATCCAACCAGTCCATCTGAAAGGAGATCAGTCCTGGGTGTTCATTGGAAGGACTGATGTTGAAGCTGAAACTCCAATACTTTGGCCACCTGATGGGAAGAGCTGACTCATTGGAAAAGACCCTGATGCTGGGAGGGATTGAGAGTAGGAGGAGAAGGGGACGACAGAGGATGAGACGGTTGGATGGCATCACTGACTCAATGGACATGAGTTTGAGTAAACTCTGGAAGTTGGTGATGGACAGGGGGGCCTGGCGAGCTGTGGTTCCGGGGATCGCAGAGTCGGACATGACTCAGCAACTGAACTGAACTCAACACCCTATATCAACCAGTGCTGTTTTTTTCTTTTGGTCAAGTCATGCGGCTTGTGGGATTTTAGTTCCTTGATCAGGGACTGAACCTGTGCCCTGGGCAGTGGAAGCTGAGTCCGAACCACTAGACCACCAGGGAAGAGGGGAGTCCCCAGTCAGTGTCTTTCAAACTGTAGGTTGCAGTCAATCAGTGGGGTATACAATCAATCTTGCAGGTCAAAGCTAGCATTGACTAGAATAGAAAATATCAGCATGTGGAGAGAGAAGGTGAGTGGGTGCTTCAGTCTTGAAAGACTCATGGATGGGCTGACCATCTCATTTTGAACACTGACTTTAATCATGTGGTTTAACAATAAAGGATAAATTTTTCTTTAATAAGTCAACCTTTTCCCTAACAAAATCCATGATAGGCATCCATGAAAACAGCTCAAACTAGGCTGAGAAGGTTCACCTCAAAATCTGATTATTAATCATGGAACAGACAATTGTTTGCTTCTGTAAAGCCAATCAAAACTATTTAAAGATTCATCCTTCTAAGAGCTAAGCCAATGACATGATGAACACACACTAGGAAGTTAGTAAATCACATGAAATGAGAAAAAAGGAATCACTGAATCTACAGTCATATATTCATAAAAACTTGGGGAAAAGAACTTCTTGTCAGGCTGTACAGTTGACCCTTGAAAAATCATGGGGTTAAAAAAAAGAAAAAGAAAGAAAGAAAAATCATGGGGTTAGGGGGACTGGACCGTCCACAGTCAAAAATCCTCCTATAGTTTTACAGTCGGCCCTCTGTATTCATGGTTCTACACCCAAGGACTCAACCAGCCTTGAACTGTGTAGAACTGTGGTATGTATTTACTGAAAAAAACCGCATATAAGTGAACCATTGAAGTTCACACCTGTGTTGTTCAAGGGTCCACTGTATTTAGAAGTTCCTCCTGATTCTCTGGCATGATTGCAATGACAGTAATTCTATCTCTACCTTATCTTTGGAGAACATGGTTTTTGGATGCTCATCTTGTGTTCGGGACTGCCACGTTAGGTTGGCCAAAGCACTAAGGCACATTTCTTTCAAGTCTATAAAAGCAAAAAGGAAGAAAGAGTTACTGTATAATATATTCCTGCTACCACAGGAATATTCAACCAGATGGTCCACAGATTAACAACTACAGCATCATCTGATCTAAAATGGACAAGAGCAGGCATCGAGAGCTAAGCCCCAAGGTAAATTCTGCCAGCTTCATGGCAGAGGTTCCCTGATTTGGCTGAGCCCAGATTCCTTTTCTCTGCCAGCTAACCAGAGGTCACTGTGCAGTCCTCCAAGGCATGTCCTTACTTGCTTGCTTCCGGAGGAAATAGGTGTTCCCGCTATGATGGCACACATTGCAGTGGAAACTGTAGTTGGTCATGAATGGTAGACAGGATCTGGAGAACACCAAATTGAGCAAATTAGTGAACTTCTGAACACACACTTACAAGAAGTAAATCAACAGGGATCCTTTCCCTCAGTGAAAGTTAGATAATAATGCTGATATATTAATAAACTCTTAAAACGTGAAAAGAGCACCAAAATAGGCCCCTTGTAGTTTTATAAATAGCTGAACTTTTCTGTTACAAAAATTTAGCAGGACATTATCCACCACAGTTGATGATTCAACATCTGGCAGGTTCTGACTGGAGCCCTATCCAGGCTAGCTTATTATGGTTTTTATTTTATTTTTATTTATTTTTTTTTACAAGGAGAACACCAAACATACTTTATTAGCACAAAAAAGCAGCTGTAACAAGGCACAGCAAGCAGAAACATACATTAGCAGTCCAAGGGTTAGTGTTGCATACAAATATAGCTTTCCTCTTTTGTGGCCTTGGCAATAGCCATTGGGATGTAAAATAACTTTCTGTAGCAGCAGGTAAGGAAACTAGGGAGCACTCACCAGTGGTACAGAGCACGTTAACAGAAAGACACGAGAACAGATTTGACTACTTTAGTGCAAAATGTCTAAGACGGACTGTAAATTCGGTTCAATACTAAGAAGCAAACACTAGAACTTGGTATTACGTCCAAAATAGCTCACTCAAGTAGTATTGCATACTATTCTAAGTGACAAAAAGGAGCTAAGTAAAGTTATTTACAGATACAATGGTTGTACAGTACCTTTTAAATCAGCAATTTAGGTTTCAGATTTTCCATTAAAAATTAAGTGCACTGAAATTCTATAACTTGTACTTAAGCAATTCATCTATAAGAGTTTACAACAAAGAGATAAATACTGCCATCCAAATTATGAGTTACAGTTTAACAATAATCTCAATGACCAGCAACCACTGTAGTTAGTATCATCTGACTTGTCTGGGTATCGTCTCGTCTCACTTTCTTCATGGCTCACAAACTCATCATGGGCATAGAAAAAGATCCAACTTTAACGAACCAGCAACTCGACTGCACATGTCAGCTTAAAAAAAATCACACGCAGGCCTACCTTGCAGCAGCTATTTCCAATGCGTTTTAAATTAAAGCACTCATTAAAAAATGAATACGTAAGGCCTTAAATAAAATTCTACTACCAACTTTCTATAAGTCTGAAATTTTAAGAACTACTACTTAGAAAACCTGGTTTACTTAACAGTACCTTTTGCAGAAGAGAAAAGGAGACTGACTATAAACTATATCAATACTTACATGAACTGCACTATGCCCTTGTGGCCAGAAAATTGCATTTTTTTTTTCTAAAAGGAAGGCAGTCTTTATTTTTTTGGACTTCCAAACTTGACTTATAGTAACTATAAACATCACTACTTTTGGAAGGTTATAGAAAAATTCTTAGAAAAAATAATAATTTCAAACATTAGTCATGCCGTTGAAATACTCATTCAATATTAACAATTTGTTCTTCAGTAAGAAATAGAATTCTTCATAGCAAATGCCCCAGAGTTGCTTCACTCAGTTACTACAGCCATTAAAAACCAAACTGTCAGCAAAATCGGCAGAATGTTTTTGCAGCTTTAATGAATACCTGTAGCTCTACCCCCTGCTGTCTCAATAGGCACCACATGTACTGAGTAAAAGTAACAGCAGACTGCCCCTGACAGATACTAACACTAAGCTTACATACTGTACTGAAGACCTAACACTGATATGTGTGCTTGCTAGGGTATACTGCCTGGTGCACATAAAAGCAGATCTAGTCAATGCCCTTTGGGGACAGGAGGGTTTACTTTGCTTTGACTGGTTCTCGTTCTAGCCAGCGAACTCTAACCTTCTGTTTATAATGATATTCTTTTAAAAAATCCTGTAACATCGATGGTAAAGGGAGCCCATCAATTCCATCATAGGTCGTGCATCTGCAGATGACTGCACGGCAGATGTACTGCAGGCTAAAAGGGAAAGTCCTGTTTAGTGATATTGTAAGCAATGGTTCAAAAAACATGCAAGAGCTGGGGTCTTTGTTATGTTCCAAAAGTCCTGTTACAGTGGAGGAGTGAAACACACATGGGTCATGGGCATCGAAACTAAAGTTGTGATTCCACTGTTCAATTCGGGCATGCAGGGACCTGTTGTAGCAAAGGAAGCTCACAGAGAAGAGGTAGTCCTCTTGTGCAGAGTCCCTGAGCAAAAATGTACCTTCAGGTTTCCCTTCCAGAAGGGCTTCTGCTTCGTAGCGGTCCATCACTCCCCAGTAACAGGGATTACCTGTGATCTGGAGCAAGTCTGGCACGAGGCAGTGTATGTAATCAATCTGCGTGTGGACCTTCCAGGCTCCCTGTCTGCCAACGTGGGCATGGCTGTCTCCAGATACCTGACGTTGCTTCTGCCTCCGTGACTGCAAACACAGCGTGGTTGTGTCCTCTTGAGTCACAATTAGCTTGTGGAACTGCAGAACTGTCCCCATTTATTTCAGTCATTCCAGGAGCTAACTTTGGTCCCAGTTTATATAACGGGTTAACCTGTGCAGTGGCTTCGAATGTATGTATTTGTGCGTTGGGAGGGGGGTCTACCCCTTCTTCAATACTAAGCCGCCTTCTCTCTCGAAGCCGATCTTCTTCATCTTCTGTAGAAGCCAAGGATGGATCAAATGTATCAAAAAATGTTGAACGTGGGCTCACAGGGGCCCTATGCTGCTTAATCAAATGCCATTTTTGGGCCAAATCTGAGCCAGCAGGAAAAGGGCATTTCTCAAGCATTAATTCAGAAAGATGTATTTTTCTTTTATTAGAAAATAGGGCTTTGACTGCTTGTTGTAAGTTCTCATGGGAAAACACAAGCCCACAGTATCCTGCAACCTGTCTCAGAGAGCGACTTCCTGCAGTCCTGCTGGACACACCGTCCATGTCGTGCACGGAGCTGACGCCGTGCCACCGCTCTCTCCTCCGAAGTCCACTTCGGGTTCTACCCACCTTTTTATCCGGATCCAGCGAACTCTGTGTCTTTGTAGACAGGAATGTTTCTTCTTCCCACCCCAAGGAGCATGTCCAGAGTAGCAATCTCTTCTTGCAAGTCTTGCTCCTGGGGTGACACACGAGTCATTATGCTTTCCAATGCTTATCTCAACAATCTGAGGAATTTCAGTGGCACAGTTTTGGTTTCTCCTTGAAGAATTCTTTGACGGGCTTAACCCTAGTTGTAAGGCAACATTTTCTCTTAAGGGACTGCTTTGCTGCTGAGGAGCCGAGTCTCCTAAACTGATGTTTTTCTCTTTGACAGACAAGCATCTGTTGGAGTTCATATCCACATTTTCACTACGGCTTCCTCCCTCGTGACCGAAGAGATTCTGACACCTGTACTTGAAGTTATTCCACATTTTCCCCACTTTATCTATAGATTATAAGACCTCCATTTTGGATGGTGAGGACGAGGGTTAAATCTGAGAGATTCTGCCACCCCGAGGGAGACATCTCTTCTCTAATGACATCATGAAGCGGAGCTGTCGTTTCAGCTCTATGCGGCATATTCCACAGTCGGGGCGCGCGGGGCGGCCTCATCCAGGGGCACCTGCGGCCAGGCAGGACGGGCCCGGGCGGCGCAGTCACCGAGAGCGAGTCCGCCGGCCAGCTCGCCCGTCTCGTCCGGCTCTCAGCGACTGCCGGAGTGAGCGCAGTCTCGCTTCCTCCGGACAGAGCCCGGGGACCCCAGCTCAGCCGGATGCCCCCTCCAGGCCCCCACCCCTTTCCCGGGCCGCCTCCCCCTCTTCACCCTTTACCCCTCCCCCCACCCCCCAACCCCCACCGGAATGGAAAATACCTCCCCTTATTATGGTTTTTAAACACCTAAAAAGAGTATACTAGGCCACTTGTGGAAGAAGACAAAGCAGTCTCTTTAAATATCTTTGCACTGAAATATCTATATTTAAATTATATTTAAGTCTCTTTGTAAAGTGTCAATAAAATTGTTGCAAAGGGCAGACAGAGGTATAAAAAGATTAACTTCAAAATGTAAATAATTATTCAAGAATGACACCCAAGTCAAAAAACATCACCTGCCTCATCAAATGAATCCTACAGATGACAGCCTTTACGAATTTATTTCTTATTTACTTATTTTTTAACATTCACTCTTCTCTGAAACACATTATTATTATTTTAAATATTTATTTATTTGGCTGCTTTGGGTCTTGGTTGTGGCACACGGATCTCTGATCTTTGTTGAGGCATGCGGGATCTAGTTCCCTGACCAGGGATTGAACCTGGGCCCCCTACACTGGGAGTGCGGAGTCTTAGCCACTGGGCCGCCAGGAAAGTCCTGTTTTTAAGAATTTAAAGGACTGAAGTAGTAACTTCAGATTTAAGAGTTAGGGAAGATTTTTTGAGGACACAAATTATGAACCGGATTTGGAAAGACAAGTTGCTTTTCTTTTCTATGGGTGAACTATTTTATGTAGAGATGAGAAACTGCAAATTTGGAGGCAAAGGGGCAAGCTGGTGCATACCAGTTCGGCCAGGCGAGGGGAGTTGTCAGAGATATGCTGAAAGGCTTGAAAGGTAGGAAGTAGCAGAGGCCTTACATGCCTGGGAAGTGAATTTTCTCTGTGGGTAACAGAAACACCTTGAAGGGGAAGCCATGTGGTGAAAGTGGTAAGTTTGGTGATAGAACAGGTCTGAAGGGAGGAAGAGATTAGAAAAGGGAGTATGTGAGAAGCTTCTTCAGCAGTTACAGAAGGTTTAAAAAAATAAGGTCTCACACAGAGTGAAATAACAAAATTGGACAAGCAAGTGTACAAGAAGAAAAGACACTGGTAACTGGTTAAGCTTAAGGGCTGATTTTATGGGAGTGGGCAGGAAGTGAAAGGAGTGCTAACCACTGAGACTCCTTGTAGGTGTCATCTCACTTCCTAAGAGATGAGCTCGGGGGCAAAAGCAGGCCTGACTGTTTGAAGGCAGAAAAGAAGCCGGTGGAAGGAACTGGGGGCTAACAGGACCCAGGCATTAGTGCAGCATGGTGGCTGGGCTGGTGACTGGAAAAGAATAGGAAAAGCTTGGTCCTGAAAAGGAGAAAGCAACAGAAAAACACAAGAATGGTTTAAGCTGGAAAAGAAGAAATCAAAATAAAGACAGGTTTATCGTGGACTCTGCTGAAACTCGGTTGGTAAAGAATCTGCCTGCAATGCAGGAGACCCGGGTTCGATCCCTGGGTCAGGAAGATCCCCTAGAGAAGGAAATGGCAACCCACGCCAGTACTCTTGCCTGGAGAATTCCATGGACAGAGGAGCCTGGCAGGCTACAGTACAAGGGATCGCAAAGAGTCGGACATGACTGTGCGACTATGTTCAGTTCAGTTCTGCTGAAACTAATTTAACATATCCTTAAAAAGATGTTTCCAGGTGTGTGTCTACCACTACCATTCAAGGAAGGAAGAAACATCCTTATGAATGTTAAGATCAAGTTCCCTCATCTTTACCTCTCTCTACAGCCCCTTCTGCAAACAGCCTGTTGTGATAAGGTCATTTACAGGGGAGAGAGGCAGGTGTACAATTATTAACAAACACGATCAGGTGTTTAGAGCAGCTTTTTCCATACTCTGCTAGCTCACTCACTTTCTCCATCTGCCATAAACGATAATCTGTCCAACCCACTGGGTTTTAGATGTAACTTCTCAAATTCAGGTATACACTAGTGACCACCAAACCTCTGAACTGTGGTTTCATTCATCTCTGCATCGCTCTGAGCTATCTCTCTGGTAAATTTCCTTTCCTAGGCCCTGTTTATCCAAATAAATTCTCCTTGCGAAAGTGGCCCAATTTTAGATCTTTCCTAACTGACCAGCTTGTATATTTTCCCTTTGGTCTTTCTACCAAGATCAATTCTTTTGACCATTCAATATTTTTCTGTTTAAAACATTCAATCCTTCAATGTCAACAGTCACATGTTAATCAGTATATTAACACTCCTTTAACTTTTTAACTAGAAAGCATTCAACAGATTATAAAGGAAGGTATTTCTTCACAAACCAACCCAAGGGAGGTTAATTTCAGAACTAACAATGCAGCCCTCTTTTGAGACAGTCTTATCTAAATTTATTTGAATATGGAAAGAACACCCCAGGGAGCCAGCAGTATAGTCATTTCGTAGACAGTGAGTCAGTAATGCTCTCTTGCTAGCTGTTGACTGATCTCCTGAATAAAGAGCCTTTCATTCTCAAATTCTTAATATGATTTTAATTCACTAGAAGAGGGGCAAAGCCTGGAAATTGGTTTTGCTGAGCAGAGAATTCAGGACACCTAAAGGAAGTGGGGTCGCAAAGAGTCGGACACGAGTGAGCGACTGAACTGAACTGAACTGAAAGGGAGTGAGTAAGGAACCAAAAAGAAAAAAGGATGTCAGGCATGAAGAGGCACCTGCCATCTCCAATTTTTGACATCACGCTTTATCCACCATGTACACGAATCCTTTCCCCCAAATCCACAATATCCAATACAAGGTTTAAACGATACTGTCTCGGGTTTCCCTGTGGCTCAACCGGTAAAGAATCCGCCTGCAGTGCAGGAGACCTGGGTTCGATCCCTGGGTTGGGAAGATTCCCTGGAGAAGGGAAAGGCTACCCACTCCAGTATTCTGGCCTGGAAAATTCCATGGACTAAAGACCATGGAGTCGAAAAGAGTAGGACTCGACTGAGTGACTTTCACTTTCACCTTACTCTTTAAATATTATATGTTTTCAACAATGAGGAAAATGTTATAAGAATAAATGGTACTGTCTCAGATTTGTTTATGTAATGCTTTGTAATTGCACAGTTTTGTCTCCAAACACAAAGACAAGGATAATACCTACCATTCTACCTATTAAGGGCAATGCCCTTAGTAGACTAAAAACATGCTCAGACTATTAAAACAATTTCTGATTAAAATCCTACTACTCACTGAACCGGAATCCGGAGTCACGGGAAATCCTATGCATTTACATTTGCCCACACTCCTAACTGGGCTTCCCTGGTTGCTCAGATGGTATCTTTACCTGCACTGAGGGAGACCTGGGTTCAAGCCTTGGAGCGGGACCATCTGTTGGACATGTCGAGATCTACAATTTAACACAGCAATTCTCACAAAAGACTCTGAAAAACACTCACGAGGTATCTATGCCAAAGGTGTCTGCTGTGAACCATTTGGTACATATTCCACACTGCAGCTCCACCTCTCCCAACTGACGGCCATTTTCTTCATCCACGGAGCCGGCCTGAGTATCCATCACCTCTGAAGTATCCCCAGCACCTTCCTGTGTCCACAGAGCCATCAGAGAATCGTGTCAGTTGATCTGACTGTATTTTTGATTCACTTAAAAACTTAAAAAGACCCAAAAAACCCTTTTGCCTGGAACTGCTATTTTCCAGTACTTTGCCAAAATGACCACTGCAAAGGGAGAGAAGAGGGGTACCCCCACATGTTCTCCAGGCCTTTTAGAAAACGTAAGAATTGCTCCTTTGGTCACATACATACAAATCTACAAGAAAGGTAATCTTGTAGATACCAAAGAAATGGGCACTGTTCAAAAATGAATACCCTGCAAAACAAAACTGGAAGAGTCTACAATGTTACCCAGCATATTGGCATCATTGTAAACAATCAAGTTAAGGGCAAGATTCTTGCCAAGAGGATTTATGTGTGTATTGAGCATATTAAGCATGCTAACAGCTGAGACACCTTCCTGAAATGTATGAAGGAAAAGGATCAGAAAAAGAAGGACCTCAAAGAGAAAAGTACTTGAAATGTACTTGGGCTCAACTGAAGCGCCAGCCTGCTCCACCCAGAAAAGCACACTGGCTGAGAACCAGAGGAAAAGTCTGAACTGTTGGAGTCCACTCTCTATGAATCCACAGCATCATGGATGTAAAGAAAACAAAAGACCTGAACTGTAAAAAAAAACAAAAAAAAAAAACCTTTAAAAAACCAACCCTATTGACTGTGAGATGGAAACACTCAAAAAGAAATACTTACAAGTGTATCTTTTCCATTAGAGGATTCTGTCTCCAAGCCACCACTTACATCAACCGAGTTTGCATCCCTGTAAAATAAGAAATTTCAGAAGAAAACCTGAAAACGCCTATTTCCAAAGATGATGATCCAAGTACAGCTGAACTTCACATCCCTACTCTTTTTCAGCCAAGCCGATGCTCAGACCCGATGCCCAGCATTAGGAAGGCGGCGGCCAAGATGAAGTCAAGCCCGTGGGGCACAAGGAAACCTTACCGGCCCTTGCAGACAAGTCTACAGCGGACAGAAGTGGTCCCTGGGGAGGTTCGCAGAGCTGCACCTCTCCCTCTCTGTTTTCAGAGAGACCAATACTCCTTCCAGCCTGGCAGTACAAAGTGGTTTCCCTCTCTGGGAATTTTGAAGGGTTACTGCTAAAAAAACCAAAAAGGCCGGGGGGAGGGGGAGCTACCAGCCCCCTGCCGGGGGTCCTAGGGCCCGGAGGGACGCCGAGAAACCGGGAAAGGTGTGCAAAGGGGCGTAGCCTAAGATACGATTCACAGGGGACGGGTCTAGCGGCGGGCGGGACGAAGGCCCCGGAGAAGGCAGGGCGAGCCGTTGGCCGCCAAGCCTAGGTTCGGAGCGGGGCGGGCGGGAGTGCTCACGGGAGCCGCGGGATTCCGACAGGGACCGGCCTCCCGCCCCCCACCCCCGTCTTCCTCGGGCCGCAGGGTGCCTTACCCGCTTTCGGCCTCTCCGGAGCCAGGCTCCGCGGAGACTGGAGCAGCAGACGTCCCCTCTCCGGCCGGAGCGGCCGCTACGGCTGCTGCCGGTTTCGTCTCCCCTTCTTCTGCCGGTGTTGCATTGGCAGCCGCTGCCGGCCCGGGTGCTGCACTCACTCCCGGTCCGGGTCCGCTTCCCGCCGCCGCCATCACTGCCGCCTTCTAGACTTCTCGCGAGAATACTACCTCCTTCTCACGCGAGTTGCTCACCTTCAAACAGTAAAGGACTCACGGTGGGTCCGCCGTCTGCGTGGGGAAGGCTCTCTCCAAGCCCGCTTTAAGGGCGGGCAGAGGTGGGCGGGACCTGGAGGCTGCTGCGCTACAAACGCAGCCGGCAGAAGGCTGTCGGGGTTTGTTGGTTTTCTTTTAGGACGCAGTTCGTATCAAAGTGGACGCAGCGCATCCTGGCCAAGATTGCAAGTCACCGCGCAGATGAAGCACCCTGAGAGCGCTGGCGACCTAGAGGCTCTGGACGCTGTGTTGTGTTCTGCAAACGCCCCCCACCGTTAGAGGTGGAACATGCCTTCCCGCCCCAGCAGTTTGCTATAGTATACTGTCCTCCTGATCTGCCACTTTGAGCAGGTTTCCTAGTGACATCTACAGTTGGGCGCCTGGACTGAATCCCAGAGCCCCATCTACGCCTGGGAGGGGACGTGGATGGAGTCCCCAGGCGGAAAAAGTCGGAAGCACTGTGTTCCTGAAGCTGCAAGCAGCTCAATATCGTTAAGAGGAGGAAATGAAGCCTGAGTGTTAAGGTGCTGGAGGACTTATGAATATAGAGAAATTCGGTCCTTAGAGAAAGGGACAGGTAATGGGCCAAAGGTAAGAACTTGAGGAATCAACGACAGTGAAGGTAGGTGAGGTCGATGGAATGAGCGGAGTCATTCGGAGCCATGGTATCCAAACTCCTGGAAGTATTAGAGCCAGGATATCTTTCAGGAAATCAGTGTTTACATCGTAATTTCTAAAAAGCTGCCTAAAGATACACCTTTCCCCCTCTTTTTTACACTTTCACTTCCACTTTAATACCCCTTTACAAAAGAAAGGCATACACGGAATCCAGTCTGACTACGATGTATTGTTCCAGGATGTGAAACCTCTGGGACACTACACACAAGAACAGTTGGGAATACATAGATATTTTGATTTCTAATTTCTTCCCAATTTCTTGCTTTTAACAAAATTGAAGGAGTAACTCATTGATAGATGCTACTGGCTGATATAGATTATTTTTCAAACTGTTGGTGATACATGCTACAAATAGGTGAAACTTTAAGAAGAAACAATAATTGCACAAAGTATCTCCCCCCTAATATCTATTATAGTGGCAATTTTAACATATGGCCACAAAAATCTTTGATACCTCCTTCCTCCAGCAAGTAGAATTTGAATTATCCAGTCCCTGGAGTGTGTGCGAGGGACTTAGTGCCTTGCTTCTAAAACAGAACGTGGAGAAGGAGAATAGTAGTTTTTACAGTGGGGAAACGCAGACACCTCTTTAACCAAGTGGTCAAGGTTAACACCAGTGGGTGAAGTCATGTTGTTATCAGTTACCCCTGATGTGAGGCAGTGGAGAACTCTACTTCATCTCTGGAAGTCTTTGCAAAAATTCACGACCCCAGACTAATCAAGAGAAAACATCAGTCCAAGACAAATTGAGACCTTCTTGAAAATACATAACCAGTACACCTCAAAACTGTGGACATTATGAAAGACAAGGAAAGACTGAGAAACTCACAGATTGGAGAAGACCAAGGAGACATGATGATTATATACAAGGGGGATTCTGGATTGTATTCTGGAACTGAAAAGGGACATGAGTTGAAAAATTGGTGAAATCTGAATAGTAAAGTCTGTAGTTAAATGATAAGTATTATAACAACTTTATTTTGTTCCCTGTACTGTGCTTTAAGATACTGATTGTAGGGAAAGCTGGATTATATGGGGGACCTCTTTGAACTATCTTTGCATCTCTAAAATTAATTGAAAATTTAAAAAGTGATTGGTAGGGGCAGAATCCACATTGCAGTGGATTGAGAAATGAGTAGAGAACTAGAAGAAGACATAGGTGTGCAGATGAATCTTTCCACTTTTTTCCTGATGCATTTTATTTCTATAAAGAAAAGACCTGTGTTAATACAGCAAAGTGTCAACATCTGTCGGATTTGTTTGTGTGTTACACGATTCCCTGCACTGTCTCAGTGGGTTTGAAATAGTCCCTAAATACATGTTTGGCTCTGAAGGAGAGATAAACAGTTGGATGGTATGAAGGAAATGCAGAGTTGGGGCAGACAGTAGACTGATGAAACAGCTTTACTCATCAATAGGAAGGGGGAGGTTGAAAATATAGGAGGCATGGTGGTTGATGGAGCAGCTTTGTGAAGAAAGTGGGTGCAGAGTTAAGTGAACTGGCAGAGATGGAGAGGTTATTCTTGATGGCAAGGAGGGACTCCATCTCGTGAGACTGGAGGGAAGAAGGGGCAGTGGAATAAGAATGCCATTTCTAGTGAGGGGAACAGGAGACCAAGGGAAAATATTGTTGGCTGAGCTCTGAGCCTATACATCTTCTGTGGCTTCCATTTCTGTCTCCCATGCTGTCTTCCAACATACATATAACAGCAAAGATGAATGGAAACATTTGGAGTTTTCAGTTTTGCCTTGCAGGTAAAACAGAGCCAGTTTGGGGGACAATCAAAGATGATAGAAAGCAGTTCAGATGATTTAACCATGGCAGCTGAGAAAGCAGAGGAACTGGAAAAACGAAGGATTCCATGTTGAAGTTTGGAGAAGGCAGGAACTGGAATGGTGAGAAGCTGAAGTAAGAGAAGAGAGTACTTGAATGTCCCTTGAGCATCAAGATTTTAAGAGAATTCTACGGCCAGCTCACCTGTGAGTAAAAGTAGGCAAGGCAAGGAGGAACCAGACCTAACTCTGGGCTTCGAAAGCAAAGCATCCATCAAATTGGGCACCTCCTCAAGATAAGGTTAATTAAAATTAAAATCACTAACAGAGCACCGGGTTGGAGGTTTAGGATGCACACACAGAAACACGGGTTTTAGAAGCTCTCGACTGAATCTCGCCAATTTCAGGCTTTCCTACTCCAGTCTATCCTGGCCAATCTTTCCACACACTACTGAATCATTTCTTGCCTGAGGAAGGTACTTAACTGCCTTTCAGAGAAAAGTCAGACTCAGCTCGGTGCTAAAGAGCGCCCAGCAAGTGGTCTCCCCATCCTGTGGGAACCCACCACACTCAGCTGGACCTGCCTGATCCGCAGCTTCCTGGGTTTGGTCCTGCTTGCCTGCATTTGCTCTGCTTTCCTGCATCCTGATCACCCCTTGCTCCATCTCATATCCATGTGCATTACATCAAGACCTACATCAGGGTTGTATCCTCTGCAAACCTTGCTTCCTGCAGTTTTTATGTGGGTGCATATGATACAGTAGTCCTGGGTTAAAAAGAAGCATATTTTCTGGTGGGCCCACAGTCTAGAATCTCATTTGGCTCATCTGTATGAGGTCTAATGCAGGGAATTCTTTCCCTCTTAACAAACCATGATATCTTATTCATAATATACTTTTCTAAAATGTTCAAAAGGGTCAGCTCCCCAACCTACATTCAGTTCGTTCTTGCCTCCTCTTCTTTGCTTGGGGTATTGTCTCTGACTTGAATGGCAAATGTTAAAGAACATGTTTTAAAATAGTATTCTAACCATTGTTTCACCATGCGCGTGTGCACGTGTGTTTGTGTGTGAGTTGCTCAGTTATGTCCAACTCTTTGTGACCCCATGGACTATAGCCCACCAGGCTACTCTGTCCATGGACTGACTTCTCCAGGCAAGAATACAGGAGTGGATAGCCATTCCCTTCTCCAGGGGATCTTCCTGACTCAAGTATCAAACCCAGGTCTCCCGCATTACAGGCAGACTCTTCACTGTTTGAGCCACCAGTGTAGCCCATTGTTTCACCTTATAAGATTTAATTATTTTAGATGAAATTAATAAGTTTAAGAAGCAATTATTTTGACTGATGTCATTTCTGGACTTGTTTTTGTTTTTGGCAGTGCTGTATGCCTTACAGGATCTTAATTCCCCAACCAGGGGTGAACCTTCAACCACGAGGGAATTCCCCAAATTTCTGGACTTGCGAATAAAGAAGGAGTTAAAAATAAAAAAGCAGTATTATAGTGTGATCCTACTTTTGTAAGTATTTATTGCTATGCAGATGCATGCTCAGTGGTGTTCAATCCTGCCACCATCACTCCAAATGTTGCCTTTAAAAACTTCTTCCTGAAAACCATCTGGGAGTTTGGGTTTTTTGAGCACAAACCACCTTTTCTCCTTGCTGGGCCCTGCAATAAACCTTTTCTGCTCCACACTCCGATGTTTTGGTTTGTGTGGCCTCACTGTGTCGGGCACATGAGCTTGGGTTCAATGACAGTATTTCTGTCATCTTTCGAGCTGAAAAAAAAGATGTTTCAGACCCTTAAGGAACCAAAGTTTTCTCATTTAAAAAGAAAACAGGGGATTCCCTGGTGGTCTGGTGGTTAGGACTCCATGCTTCCACTAAAGGGCACACAGGTTTGATCCCTGGCCGGGGAACTGAGATCCTGCAAAGTGCATGGTCCAAAAAAGAAGATACATGGATTCCAATTCTGCAGAAACTGACCCAAATCTGTGTCCATTTTATGTCTATCAGCACCCATGGGCTTGTAGTAAAGAACCCACCTACCAATGCAGGAGATGTAAGAGACATGGGTTTGATCCCTGGGTCCGGGCGATCCCCTGCAGAAAGGCATGGCAACCCATTGCAGTGTTCCTGCCTGGAGAATCCCATGGACAGAGGAACCTGGTGGGCTATAGTCCATGGGGTCACAAAGAGTCAGATACAACTGAAGCGACTTAGTGTGAGCATACCTGTGTACACACACACACACATCAGCACCCATACTCAGCTCTTGCATGAATATTGTCTTGCTGGGCCTTCAAAGAGGAATGAAGGTTTCCAGAAAGTCCTACAACTTAACAACCCGCTTTTCGGGTTAAGAAGTTGTAGGACTTCTTCCTCCTCCCAGGAGCCTGCCCATAGCCAAATAGAGTCATCCTTTGGAATCTGAGGCAGGGATGGTTCCAGAACCCCTGAGAAAACCTA